GGGAGTACGTTACTCACCCCGGCGAGGTAAGGAGTGGCCTTGCTGGTCAAGCTTTGATCAATGTAGGTTAACGGTTTCCTGATGGCCCCTAGAACTTCTTCTTTTTTTCCTTGCACCAGGTGGCAATACAGGGCTGTGGACATGGCCGGCTAAGGACAGAGACAAAGGTTTAGCTGGGCTGGAGCAGCGTCGAAGGGAGCCCACGTTTTGCCCCATCAGCGTCGTGCCCTGGAGTGTTGCTGCCAAGTTGGGCTTCTCCAGGTGACCCACCTGCAGCTCCGTTGCTTCCCATTCAAGCCACTGATTGGTGAGATCGTCAGGCTCCTTTCCAGCTAAGAGGAAGAAGTACCTGCAGGACAGGAAGGAAAGGGAGCGCTGAATGCACACAGCAGATCCAGCCCAGGGGATTCTGCAGCCCAGGTAACTCCACTCAGCGCCTGTCCCCAGAGCGTTGACTTCCCCACGCTCACACAGCAGGTCACTGGCACAGCTGGGAACAGACCCAGGAGTCCCAATGTCCCCTTTGCTCTAGCCATCAGGCAGGGGACTCAAGTTGTACGGTGGCCTCAGAGGGCAGCCACCAACTCTCGCTGGCGGCCGCACTGACATGTTTTCCTAAAACACTTAATTAACATTCGGAGGGACAAACAAACATGCACATACACGCACCCAAATCCTTGTCATTTCTTCATGTAGTAAGTGTGCTGGACAAAGTGACGCTTGCCTGTTTAATATCAGTTCTCGGCAAGCCGCAGAACAGATTAAACCCTGGATGGGGGTGGGGGGGTGTGAGGGGGGAGGCAGCGGGAACCAGGGGCCATGGGGGGAAGCATGGGGGGCCAAGGGAGGCAGCAGAAGCCCAGGGCAATGGGCGGAGCCGGGTGTCCGTGCCCACCACTGTGTGGTCAGAGCTGAAGCTGGGAGTCGGAGCCCGCGGCCGTGCAGCCAGGACGAGCACCCGGTACTGGAGCCAGAGCCCGAAGCTGGGGGTCGGCACCCGAAGGCCCACGGTCAGGCTCCTCAAGTCCCGCTGCTGCCCAATCACCCCAGAGCTGAAGCCTGAGCCCCGACCCCTCACCGGGTTGAGAACTAACCTTGCTCCTAGGCCCTGCACCTCCAATGTTGTGCCCTGCCTGTCTCCAGAGCCAGTGCAGGGCTGCGCATTCAGGAGCAACAGGGAGGGAGGGAAGAGGCCGATACTTTGCACTCCCACCCCCGCCGGCTGTTATGGCCCCTGGTGGCCAGACCCCGCATTTGAGAAACGCTGCACCAGAGCCCACTCCCCAGGTACCGCTATCACCTCCCAACCAGGAACTCCTCCCCCGCTGGGCCCTGAAAGCTGCAGGAAACACTTCAGCAAAACCAGAGGGTTGCTAGGCCCTAGATCCTGGGGCGGGATCCAGCCGCGAACGCTGATTGCTCAAGAACAGGGCAGGACCCGAGAACAGCAAGATGCCAAGTTCCTTGTCCGACTGCAGCAGGCACCATTGGGGGCACCATTCCCAGGAGCGGCTAGGGTGGCCTGATGTCCCGATTTTAGGGTCTTTTTCTTATCTAGGCTCCTATTACCCCCCAACCCCGTCCTGATTTTCCACATTTGCTGTCTGGTCACCCTAGGAGCTGCACTGACCCAGCAGCTGGACAGCGTGTGCTCAGGGAGTGCTGACCCTCCGGTGAATTAGCTGGAGACCCTCCAGCCCAGAAACCAGCAGGGGACACTTACTGACAGATGGCATTTGGGGAGAAGAGGAAAGTGCCGCTGTCCAGGTGCAGGGCTGGCACCCGCGGGTGGGTGAGGAAAGGAACCACGCGACCTGCAGAGGGGAAGGCACATGGCATTAGGGCACTGGAGCATGAGCCAAGGAGAAGACCAGGGCCTAGGGAGAGGGGAGGACTGAGGGGCGGGGCCCCTGAGGGAAGTAAGGCACAACAAGGGGGGGATTGGGGGGGCCCTGAGGGAGGTGACCCCAGAGAAGAAGGGGCTAGGGAAACAGGGGCAGTAGAGACGGGGTCCCTGAAAAGGGGGAGAGGACGCTAGGAGCGTCCCTAGGGATATTGGGAAGGGGGTCATAGAAGATGGTCCATGAGAGGACACATCTGGCAAGGACCTGTGGGGGCTCCAGGTGGGAGGGGGACAGGGCAAGAGAGGGGAGCACTGTGAGGGGGCCATGGGCAGGAGAGGAGGTCTCCTAAGGGGGCACAGGGGATGTGCCCTGGGCAGAAAGGGAAGAGGAAAGGGGCGATGACATGGGGAGGGGGCACAGGGGCATGGCCAGGAGTAATCCTGGGGGAGGGGGAGGCACAGTACTCTGGGGAACAGGAGGAGGCTGGATGGGAGGGGTCCTGGGGGGCAGGTGGACGTGTAGGGAGAGGAGGAAGCAGCAGCCCTGGGGGCCCCAGGCCGGAGGAGGTGAAAGGGGGGAGGACCGCCTGGGGAGTGGAGCACTAAAAGGCTGGCCTTGGAGGGGAAGGGGAATTGGGAGGCAGGACACTGGGGTGGTTGGGGGAATGGGCATTGGGGTCCCAGGCACGGTCGGGTAAGTGGCAGTTTGGTGATCCGGGCCCGCGGAGGGGAGTCGGGGGGGGAGGTGGGGGAGGGGGGGTGAGGGGGCAAGGGGGTTAGGAGGGGGTGCGAGGGAGGGCCCGAGAGGGCCCTGTGGGGGCGAGAGGGGAAGCCAGGGGTGGGGGGAGGGGCCCGGCAGGTTGGGGGAGGAGGAGGGGCCGGGAGCCCGGGGTGGGGATTGGGACAGGCAGGTTGGGGGAGGGAGGGACGGGGGGCGCTGGGGGGTTGGGAGGGGGGCGGGCAGGTTGGGGGCGGAAGGAGAGCCCGGGGGGGGCGCTGGGGGCGGGGAGGGGGGGCGGGCAGGTTGGGGGCGGGAGGAGAGCCCGGGGGGGGGCGCTGGGGGCGGGGGAGGGGGGCGGGCAGGTTGGGGGCGGGAGGAGAGCCCGGGGGGGGCGCTGGGGGGGGGAGGAGCCGGGGGGGCGGGCAGGTTGGGGGGCGGGAGGAGAGCCCGGGGGGGCGCTGGGGGGCGGGGAGGGGGGCGGGCAGGTTGGGGGCGGGAGGAGAGCCGGGGGGGCGCTGGGGGGGTTGGGAGGGAGGCGGGCAGGTTGGGGGCGGGAGGAGAGCCCGGAGGGGGGCGGGCAGGTTGGGGGCGGAGAGGAGAGCCGGGGGGGGGGGGGGGGGGAGGGGGCGGGCAGGTTGGGGGCGGGAGGAGAGCCCGGGGGGGGGCGCTGGGGGGGTTGGGAGGGAGGCGGGCAGGTTGGGGGCGGGAGGGAGCCCGGAGGGGGGCGGGCAGGTTGGGGGCAGGAGGAGGGCGGGGAGCCCGGGGTGGGGCATTGGGACAGGCAGGTTGGGGGCAGGGAGGGACCGGGGGGGGGCGCTGGGCGGGTTGGGAGGGGGGGCGGGCAGGTTGGGGGCGGAAGGAGAGCCCGGGGGGGGGCGCTGGGGGCGGGGAGGGGGGCGGGCAGGTTGGGGGCGGGAGGGAGCCCGGGGGGGTGCTGGGGGGGGGGAGGGGGGCGGGCAGGTTGGGGGCGGGAGGAGAGCCCGGAGGGGGGGGCAGGTTGGGGGCGGGAGGAGAGCCCGGGGGGGGCGCTGGGGGGGTTGGGAGGGAGGCGGGCAGGTTGGGGGCGGGAGGAGAGCCCGGGGGGGGGGCGGGCAGGTTGGGGGCGGGAGGAGAGCCCGGAGGGGGGCGGGCAGGTTGGGGGGCGGGAGGAGAGCCCGGGGGGGGGCGGGCAGGTTGGGGGCAGGGAGGGACCTTGGGGGGGCGCTGGGCGGGTTGGGAGGGGGGCGGGCAGGTTGGGGGCGGGAGGAGAGCCCGGGGGGGGGCGCTGGGGGCGGGGGGGGGGCAGGTTGGGGCCGGGAGGGGGAGAGCCCGGGGGGGGCGGGCAGGTTGGGGGCGGGAGGAGAGCCCGGGGGGGGGCGCTGGGGGCGGGCAGGTTGGGGGCGGGAGGGGAGCCCGGAGGGGGGACGGGCAGGTTGGGGGCGGGAGGGGAGCCCGGAGTGGGGCGCCGGGGGGGACTCGGGGGGGCGGGCCCCGCCCCACTCACCGTCCGGGGGGACCCGCTCCAGCCGCACGCGGGCCCCGCTGGCCCCGGCCGCCGCCAGCACCTTGAGGCCCTGGGCGCTGCCCTCGCTCAGGTAGAGCCGCATCCTCGCCCGGCCACGCTCCGCGCCGCCCGCTGATGCAACGAGCCCGCCGGGCCGGCCGCCGCGGTGCATCGTGGGGCCTGTAGTCCCGCCGGCCGCGCTCCCCAGCGCCGCCCCCGCCCGCCGGCCGCGGAACTACGAGCCCCACAATGCACCGCGGCGCAGAGCGGAAGTGTCGCGAGACGGGCGCTCGGAGGGCGGTTCCGGAGAAGAGGGGCTGTCCGGGGTTGCTATGGTTACCAGGGAACGGGGCTGGGCTGGCCAGGGTTACTATGGTTACCCACTGCAGACCGCCCCCCCCGCATTAATCCCATTTCACACCCCCGCCCCCCATTACAGCATCCAAAATGGCCGTCCATCATGGAAACGTCATTGCACCGCATTGTGATGTCACCAGCACACACCGTGACATCACGGGAGCAGCCTCGCAGGGGTGTGCGGCCCAGCGGGAAAGCCAGGGTGACATCACGGGATTGCACCCCACTTCCCGCGGGACACGCCCGCCGTTCCTGAGCTCGCACACGCCTTCGCCCTCACGTGCGATCCGGGTGCCGCCTCTGGTGATGTCATAGCACATCTGACGTAGGCGACCGATGGGACGACGTCGAGAGCTCACGGCATTCCCAGGGACAATGGGCTGGATCGAGCTGTCTAGGGTCTAACCCTTATCTGGCCCCATCGGTGCACAGAAGGGAAACTGAGGCACAGAGACACTAAGTGACGTGCCCATAGTCACCCAGTGAGGCTGCCAGAGCAGGGCATTGAACCTAGGTTATGCGTGTGCCCCACTGCTGACCCATCCTTCCTCTGGCTGTGGGCTGTGAAAATCCAGGAAAGTTCAGTTTGGGGCAGGACGAGGATGGAGACTCCCAAACCCTCGGACTCGCAGTGCTTGGGAGCACCCCAGGGTGCTCACTGCGGTTGTGAGGAGGCCAGCATGTGCTCCAGAGCTCAGCTAACCCAGCTGGTACCGCACAGACCAACCGCAGCAGCGTGGCACAGAGAACAACCAGCAGCGATACGCACTGGACTCCATCGCCTGCTATGCACTCGGCTCAAGCCTTAACCCCATGGGGCTGGATAGCTTCTCCTTCCCTGGCACAGCCTGAGGGGAGAACGCCCACTGCTCACCCTGCAAGTCAGTGACAGAACCACAGATGGAACCCAGGAGTCCTGAATCCAGTTCTCTGTTCTTGTTCCTAGAGCATATGTCCTCCCAGAACTGGGAATAGAACCTAGGAGATCTGTCACCCTCCCTACCCCCCCAACCACTAGACCCCGCTCCCCTCCCACAACCAGGAATAGAACCCAGGAGTCCTGACACTCAGCCCCTCTCACCGCTCTCATCCACTAGGTCCCGCTCCCCGCCCACAACCAGGAATAGAACCCAGGAGTCCTGACACCCAGCCCCTCTCACCGCTCTCATCCACTAGGTCCCGCTCCCCTCCCACAACCAGAAATAGAACCCAGGAGTCCTGACACCCAGCCCCGCTCACCGCTCTCATCCACTAGGTCCCGCTCCCCTCCCACAACCAGGAATAGAACCCAGGAGTCCTGACACCCAGCCCCTCTCACCGCTCTCATCCACTAGGTCCCGCTCCCCTCCCACAACCAGGAATAGAACCCAGGAGTCCTGACACCCAGCCCCTCTCACCGCTCTCATCCACTAGGTCCCGCTCCCCTCCCACAACCAGGAATAGAACCCAGGAGTCCTGACACCCAGCTGTGACGAAGTGGGACTGTTCTTAATGTTTCCTCTGAATAGTGTGGGGGTGCCTCAGTTTCCCCCAGGCAGTTCTTAAGTATCTAGGGGGTGGAGTAAGGGTGTATGATCATTGCAGAGCCCTAGAGGGCATGTGTGTGCAGGGGCCTGGACACAAAGAATGGCCGACACCCTGTTTCCTGGCAACTGATGGCCTGGGCCCTTCCCCCCCTGCAAGGTGAGAGCTGAAGGATTGGAGAACAAAGAAATCAGGTGACCACCTGGCCCGGGAAAGGAACAAAGCCCAGAGGAGGGGGGGCTGGAGGGAGTTTTCAGTTTGGGGCTGGCTGGGACATGGAGTGAAGTGCAGACGTGGTTGTCTGGCTCACTGCCCCCCAGAATGGACCCAGCTGAGGGGTCCCGTTCTCTGCACCTGCAAGCTCTGTTTTAGACCATGTTCCTGTCGTCTAATAAACCTTCTGTTTTACTGGCTGGCTGAGAGTCACGTCTGACTGCGAAGTTGGGGTGCAGGACCCTCTGGCTTCCCCAGGAGCACCGCCTGAGCGGACTCGCTGGGGGAAGCACACGGAGAGGCAGAGGATGCTGAATGCTCCGAGGTCAGACCCAGGAAGGTGGAAGCTGGGTGAGCTGTGTGTCCTGAAGACAGGCTGCTCACAGAAAGGCGACTACCCCAGAGTCCTGACTGACTTCATGGGGAGCAGTTCCAGAGCACCGCCCAGGGACTCCGTGACACCAGCCCCTCTCACCGCTCTCATCCACTAGGTCCCGCTCCCCTCCCACAACCAGGAATAGAACCCAGGAGTCCTGACACCCAGCCCCGCTCACCGCTCTCATCCACTAGGTCCCGCTCCCCTCCCACAACCAGGAATAGAACCCAGGAGTCCTGACACCCAGCCCCGCTCACCGCTCTCATCCACTAGGTCCCGCTCCCAACCCACAACCAGGAATAGAACCCAGGAGCCCTGGCACCCAGCCCCGCTCACCGCTCTCATCCAGTAGGTCCCGCTCCCCTCCCACAACCAGGAATAGAACCCAGGAGTCCTGACACCCAGGCCCTCTCACCGCTCTCATCCACTAGGTCCCGCTCCCCTCCCACAACCAGGAATAGAACCCAGGAGCCCTGACACCCAGGCCCTCTCACCGCTCTCATCCACTAGGTCCCGCTCCCCTCCCACAACCAGGAATAGAACCCAGGAGTCCTGACACCCAGCCCCTCTCACCGCTCTCATCCACTAGGTCCCGCTCCCTGCCCACAACCAGGAATAGAACCCAGGAGTCCTGACACCCAGCCCCGCTCACCGCTCTCATCCACTAGGTCCCGCTCCCCTCTCACAACCAGGAATAGAGCCCAGGAGCCCTGGCGCCCCCAGCAGACAGCCAAGCTCTGTGCCCAGGGCCAGCCCTGGCTGCCTGTCACACGGCGGGCCAGGGAGGTGTGACTGCAGCTGCTGACGTGGGCCGAGCTGTCCCAGGACCCTCCTCCTCTGGCAGCGGCTGCTGAGAAGCCGCCAGCAAAGTTGCAGGAGGTCCCTGCTCCGGTGTGGGGAGCGACTGAACAGTGAGCGGCCAGGTAAGGGGCCTAATGGGGTGGGGAAGGACTTTTCTGCCCAGCCTCTTCGCCAGGGAGAAGGTACCCGAGCTCCTGGCGCTGGCGGGGGGCTCACCAGTCGCAGGCTGCCCGCCGTGCTAGGGCTGAAGTGCTTGTGAGATGCTGCTCAGAGCCATGGGACTCCCTAGAAAGAGACATGGGGAGCGGGGCATCTCTGCATGGCTCCCCCCTAGAGCATACGTCAGTGAGAAAACCCCTGTCGAAGCAACACAGGTACTGTTACCTGGGCATCCCATACACGTGCCGAGAGCCACCGCCGGGCTGGGGCCACACATGGCCATCATCTGTCTGGAACCATGCACGGCCACTGCCGGGCTGGGGCCACGCACGGCCATCATCTGGCTGGAACCACACAGGGCCACTGCCGGGCTGGGGCCACGCACGACTGTAGGTTGTCAGAGGCACAACTTTGCAAGAGGAAAGGTGCTGAGCAGGCGATTCAAACCACATGTTGTCTGTCTCCACACCGCCCCCGGCCCGCAAGGAAATGCAGCTTTCAAAACAACATCTGGGGGAGCCACCCAGTCTAACCCCGGCTGTCCTGGCTGCAGGGACGGAGAATAAAACAGAGGGGTGGGAGGTGGGACTCTATACTCCTGGGAACGGTCGAAAGGGGTGGACTAGGCAGAGCTGCCATCTGTCCAGATTTTCCCAGGAGGGGCCATTTCTGGAGGTAGTTGTCTTGGGAAATGTGCAAGGGTCCTTGCGTGGCTCACGCTGCCGGCTGTCCAGTTTTAGGGGCTCAGGATCACCCCGCCTGTCCCATGTTTTTGTACCTCAGAAGTGGCAGCCCTAGGACGAGGCCCCAGGCTTCCCAACACCCAGCGCCCATCGGCAAATGAGGGGGCTCGCACTTGGTAAGAGAGAGAAGGAGGAAAATCCAGGTGTGTTGTTTGTGGGAGCCGCGGATGCCCATTTCCCAGATGGAGAAACTGAGGCACGGGGTAGATGAAATGACTTGCCCAAGGTCACCAGCGAGTCAGCGGCAGAGGAACCCTGATCTCCTGGATCATTGCCCTATATCCCATCCTCACAGCAGCCTCCCTCCCTCTCACTTGGTGCGTCTCTGATTGTCCGAGGCCTCCCTGCACCTCCCGTTGGATTTGGCTGCTGTTTGCTCAGCGCCTCAGCCGCAGGGGCTGCGTTTTCGGGTTTTGCGCGCGGGCCGAGGGTCCTGTTTAACCGGCGATGTGCCAAGGAGAGTCCATTTCAGAACACGCAGCTTCGGGGTGAGGGGAAAGGACAGAACTGAACAGAGGAGGGGGGTAATTGACCGAGGCTTGGCTGTCAGATGCACTCCCCCAAAGTGACTCGATTGAAGGGGTCTCCGGGGAATAGCCCCCTGGCCAAGCGGTGGGGGGGGGGCATGGCATATTTTGGAATCAGTGATAAAGAAGCAAGAGGGCCTGGGGGATGCAGAGGCTTGAAGGGCTGTTAATCCTCATCGCTGCCTGCAATGTAGGGGCACCACCCAGAGCTAGCTGCATCATGTCAAATTGAGGTTTGGTCTGGGGGTGCGGTGGAGTCTGATGAGGCCCCCCCGCAGGGAGGTGGGTCAGAGGGAATGGGACTCTCCTCTCACGACTGTTTTATTCCACATGGGTCTCCCCTCCCCCCCCCCCAGTTCCCTCCTTCCCATCTGTGCTGAACGGGGGTTGCGCCCCAGGGCACTGGAGACAGAGACTCACTCTGCTCACGCAGCAGCTCGGCTCACAGGAAGCCGGTGCCCGTCACCGAGCGGAAATGCGGTACCTGTGCTCTGCGCGCCGGCGGGGGGGTGACTATAAGAAAACAATTAAAACCAGGTCCTTTGTGCTGCCTTGAGGGCGGGGGGGAGGGGGAGGGGAGTGAGGCTGGGCCAGTGGCTGCCTTTTCGGGGTCCCTAACTCCAAGACCAGAGAATCCCCCCCAGCTGCTCCTCCACCCAGCCAGAGCATCTCAGAGAGGGGCACCAAGAACACACACATACCCCCACCCGGCCCCTGGCCAGTCACTCCAGTCCTTAATTCTCCTCCAAGGTACCAACTGGCACCTTGGTTCTTGGCTGCACAGGGGAGGGCGTGGACTGGTCCCGCGCGGGGCAGAGCAAACAACAGTCCCGCCGCTGGAGACCCCAACAGGCATGCTGTATCTGGCTCCCCCTCCCCATGGTCACATGCAGAATGGGCAATCAGGAGCCAGGACTCCTGGGTTCCATCCCCAGCTCTGAGAGGGGAGGGGGGATCTAGTGGTTAGAGCGGGGGAGCTGGGCGTCAGGACTCCTGGATTCCACCCCTGGCTCTGCTGGTAACTCTGCCTTGGAGGCATCCCCCCACACCCTGTGCCCCAGGTTCCCACTCTGTCAGTGGGGTGAGGCTGACCTGCTGACAGGGCTTTGAGCACCTGGGCTGGCAGGGATGCCAGCTTTGTAAGCGCAGCCCCGGCCTTCGCCCCTTGGTGACACATGCACCCGGCTCAGCGCCCTGGTGCCCGGAGACCATTAACCCTTCAGTGCCTGCTTTTCTCCTTCTCCTCCCCAGGTTCTGCAGGCCAGCCCCATGGCAGCACCCTGGCGGTGGTGAGTCCCTGTGCGCCGCCCCAACACCTCCAGCCCAGCCCATCCCGGGGCCTGAAGTCCCTCCTGGCCACGTCCTCTCCTTCAGTTCAGCTAGCAGCTGGCCCCCTCCCCTGCCCAGCCCCGTGTAGGCCCCGTGACTCTGGGCACGTGGAACGGACCCATGGGCCGAGCCCCCTTGCCATGCCAGTTCTCGGCTCCACCTCCATCCCCGGGGCAGATGGGGGGAGGAAGGGGCCTGAAAGATGCCCCCCATACGGGAATCTGAATCTCAATGTCCCACCCCGGGGGAAATGTGGGAGTTACCCAGGGGATGGGGGGGATCCCCAGGGCTGTGTCTCCACCATACAGTTGCTGGTTTGGGCTCTGGGGCCTCTGCCCAAGGCTGCCTGGCCAGGGAAGGGGAGACATGCGGAGGCCCTGCCCCCCCCCCGCCCTTGGCAGAGCCAGTCACCCTGAGCTGTATGTGGCCGTCTGCGATGAGCCACTGGCTGGAAAGCCGCAGAGCTGGCTGGCTTCCTGTTGTAGCAGCATCTGGGCTTCCTGTAGCCACGTGGCCTCACCCGCTGGCCGCTACCAGGGCACTGAGCCCTGGCTTGGACATGTTCTCTTGGGGGGGCAGGGCAAGCAGCCATGTCCCAGTCTCCACAGCGCCCCCATGGGGGCTGCCCCTGCCAGTCCAGCAGCGGGCCTGAAGCAAGGAGGTCTGGAGCCAGCGGGAGGAGCAGGCCAGGTTGCCTGGGCACGCACCAGCACCGTGCGTCCAGAAGGGAAAGCCCCCGTTCCCCACATCCCGAGCCAGCTGGTCCCCCTTCCCCCGTGCCATTGGGGCCGACGCCTCGTGTCTCAGCCTGGTCCCCTGCCTTCTCCTTCCAGATGACGGTGCTGGACCCCGGCTGGGCTGGGCTCGTGGCGCGCACAGGGCGGCCAGCCGCTCTCCCCCTCGCTGAGATGCTGTCAGGGCGGTGGCGGCTGGAAGGCCGGTCCTGGCGCCGGGCCAGCCCCTCGCCAGGCTCCTCCTCGGCCGTGGCGCTGCGAGCCCTCTACGACTACCAGTACGAGGCGGAGGACGGGCGCCAGGTGGCCATCGCTGAAGGCGAGTGCTTCCTGCTGCTCCACAAGACCAATGAGGACTGGTGGCAGGTGCGGCGGCTCAGCGATCCCCGGAGGGCACGGCCCATCTTTGTGCCGGCCACCTACGTGGCGGAGGTGGGCCCTCGCGTGGAGGGTGGCCCGTGGCTGAGTGCCACGCTGCTCGCAGCCGCTGGCACCGGGCAGCACCCATCCCCGGGTGAGTGTCTGGCAGGGAGCCGGGTGAGGGCTCAGCAGGGGGCTCTCTCCCCTCCCAGCATGGCACGAGGGGTTATGGGCTGCAGGGACCGGGCTGGGGGTGTCACAGATCCACAGGATCGGGGCTACAGCCCCAGCTTTGGACCGGTCTCTGGGAGGACCCAGACCCCCTCGGGGTCTCGCTCTCCCTCCAGGATCTCCCACGCGGCTTCTCCGCCTCTTTAGACAGGACCCCTGGCTGTCAGCCCCCCTGTGCCCCGCCAGGAGCTCCGCCAGCGAGACAGACCCCTGAGGGCGACTTGTCCGCTCTGAGGGCTCAGTACCCCTCGCCCGGCAGCTGCAGGGGAGCTCGCACAGCGGGGCCAGGCAGCCAGGTGTATGTCACCTGGAACCTGGCCCGGGAAGCCTTGGGCTAGTGCCGAGGGACGAAAGCTCTGGGCAGCCGAGCACCCAGCCAGGCTGTGGGGAACCCCCTTGTTCCAGCTCTGACTCTCCCTCCGCCCGAGCTCCTTGCTCAGAGCCCCCTCCCCCCAGTAGCCAGCCCTTCTCCCCCACCTCACCTCTCTCTGGAGCTGCTGCTCAGCCCCACTGTGGACAGGCGGGACCCAGATCTCTGTCCTTTGTTGCTAGGTATCAGTGTCTGGGTAATTGGATGGGCATTGTCTTCTCAACTGCTCCTGGGATTAAGGCCCTGGGCGCCACCCATACCTCCACTTCTTTGCCTGCCCTGGGAGCAAACAGCCCTTTGGGGAACAGGGCAGCACAGGGGGAAACTGAGGCACACACAGGCTTCATGGAAATGTTACAAAATTCTTGCTTTGTCACAGGGGGTTCAGCAGGAGTCGCTGTCTCCTGGCAGTCAGGGCTGGCCCCAGTGTGGCGCTGGGGGGCTCTGTGCTACATGGAGCGGGGCAGGGGGCTCTCCCCTGGCAGTCAGCGCTGACACCAGTGCCCCAGGGTGGTGCTAAGGGGCACTGTGCTGCAGGGAGTATGTGGGGGGGGGTCAGCAGGGGTGTCACGGAGTCTCTGGGCGATGCTCTGGGTCTGCTCCCTACAAAGCCAGGCAGGACTCTGGGGAAGTCTCCTCTCCGGGAGCAGCCTGTCTGCAGGACACACAGCTCCCCCGGCTCCACCTTCCTGGCTCTGACCTCGGAGCATTCAGCATCCTCTGCCCCTCCGTGCGCTTCCCACAGCGAGTCCGCTCAGGCGGGGTCCCGGGGGGGCCAGAGGGTCCTGGCCCCCAACTCCGCAGTCAGACGTGACTCTCAGCCAGCCAGGAAAACAGAAGGTTTATTAGACGACAGGAACATGGTCTAAAACAGAGCTTGTAGGTGCAGAGAACAGGACCCCTCAGCCGGGTCCATTCCGGGGGGCAGTGAGCCAGACAACCACGTCTGCCCTTCTCCAGCCAGCCCCAAACTGAAACTCCCTCCAGCCCCCCCCTCCTCTGGGCTTTGTCCGTTTCCCGAGCCAGGAGGTCACCTGATTCCTTTGTTCTCCAACCCTTTAGCTCTCACCTTGCAGGGGGGAAGGGCCCAGGCCATCAGTTGCCAGGAAACAGGGTGTCGGCCATTCTCTGTGTCCAGACCCCTGCACACACCTGCCCTCTAGGGCTCTGCAATGATCATACACCCTTACCCCCACACCTAGATACTTAAGAACTGCCTAGGGGAAACTGAGGCACCCCCACACTATTCAGAGGAAACATTAAGAACAGTCCTGCTTTGTCACAAGGGGGCGCTGGGCTGCAGGGAGCGGGTGTGGGGGCTCAGCAGGGGGTGTTGGGCTGCAGGGAGTGGGGGGGGACTCAGCAGGGGGTACTGGGCTGCAGGGAGTGGGGGGGCTCAGCGGGGGGCGCTGGGCTGCAGGGAGCGGGGTGGGGGGGCTCAGGAGGGGGCGCTAGGGGAGGTATCTGTCGGATGAGCTGTGAAGCCAGGGGGCCAGTGGGATCATGCCTGGAGCTGGGGGGTGGGGAGGCTGCATCCAGGCTCTCAGCTGAGCGGTGGGGGACCCTCTGTCAGCCCCAGGTGCTGTTCACAAGCCAAGACGTGCCCTCCCCTCCCGCTGCTGCCCTCCAGCACAACAGGGGCTCTGACCCAGTTGCTCTCTCCCCTTGCCAGGCCTGCAGCCACGGTACCGATCCCTCCAGGACCTGTCCAGCTGCCCAGCCCCGCCTGGCCACTACTCCTGCCACAGCCTGAGCCTGCCAGCCTGGGACCCCGGCCCCCAGCTCGGCCCGACCCACCCCGTCAGCAGGAGCATCAGCGCCACCGGCCTGGCCCAGAGCCCCGGCAGTGACGCGCCCGTCCCCAGATGCCAGCAAGAGCGGTGCCCGGAGCCGGTGCGGCAGGGGGCCAGCCCCCCTGGGGTAAGTATGGCCTCCTGGGGGAGGGGCAAGGGTGGGGTGTATGCATCTGGCTCCCCCGCCCTGCCCCTCCCTTCTCCACATCACCCACCCAGAGCAGCCGGGGCAGGGCTGGAGAAGTCCCACAGCACGTGGGCAGCCCCCTGCTATCCCAGCGCTACTCCTCCACCTCTGCAGGGGCCCCTCACTCCCGACCCCCAGCCCCCTGCTAGCCCAGCCCTGGGCTCCCTGGTGCCTGGCCCTGGCCTTGGGTTCATGTAGGAGCCTCCCCCATCCCACCCACCCGCCTTCCTCTTTCTTCCTCTCTCTGACCACAGGGAGGGAAGTGTAGGTGCAGGGGCTGTGCTAACCCGCAGGATGTGGGGTGAGCTGTGGGAGGGGCTGCCCCATGGGTTGCGGCCTGGAGCAACACTTCAGGCTCAGCTCCCCAAGAGCTACAGGCCCAGCTACTGCTGGGGGCAGGGGCTGAGTGCTCAGCTGCCCCCCCGGGAAGGGGGGGGCAGACTGACGGGCTGAGCAGCAGCAGCAAGGGGTGAGTGTCCGCGTGGGACTTGGGGGGAGGGCGGGCAGCGGGGGGGCAGGAGGGAGAGGAGATGGTCATGGGGCGGGAGGAAGGGCACTGCGGGGAGGGAACCGGGTGCAGAGAGGCACAGGATAGGGGACAGAGGGGCTGAGCAGGGACGAGGGGGCCTGGGGTATGGGGGTGGGGACAGTGGGGGGCACAGGAAGTGGCAGGGTGGAGCAGGCAGAGCAAGGGGTAGGGAGCCGGGGGCTCAGGAGGGGGCAGGGGGCAGGGGGCACCAGCTGACGGGCGGCTCAGCGCCCCTGGCATTGTTCCAAGCCGCTCTGGGGAAACCGTTCCAAACCTTGCCTAAGCAAGAGTTTCTCGGCTTCGCCCAGAGCCGGGGGAGGGCGGGGGGCTGGGCGGGACCATGTGTCGCGGGGTCCCAGGCTCGGTGCTCAGCACCTGCTCTGGATGAAGCTGGCCAGGACTCTGGGGCGGGGTCTCCCCTCGGGGCTCACTCCCCCCGGGCAAGGAGCCGGCTCAGTCACCCCGTGAGCTCCCCGCAGCGAGGCCCCGCCGGGGGAGCCTGACACCCCCCAAGGGCCCTGCCCCCCACCCGCAGCCGGCAGTGACTCCCAGCCAGCGGGTGACGCAGACGGGTTGTTAGTCCCCGGGGACCCAGCGTAAGACGGAGCTGGTTAGCACCTACCAGGGACTCTCAGCAAAGTGCATCTGGGGGGGGAGCCAGAGCCCAGGGCCCTCCCACCATGTCCCAACCTAGGAGACAGACCCCTTCCAGCTGCCCACCCCCCCGACACCCCTTCCCCCCCGGGCTTTGTCTCTTTTCCAAGCCAGCAGGGTCACCTGGTCTGTCCCAGCACCTCCAGCTGATCCTTGCAGAGGAGGGGGCCCTGCTACCAGTTGCCAGGCTCCCTCTGGCCCCCCAACTCTGCCGGTGCCCCTCGCTCCTGACCCACAGCCCCTCCTTGGGGCTCTGTGAGGAACTTTGGACCCTCTGCCCCCAAGCAGGCTGGATTCTCTCTGACTGTGCACCCCCAACTCTGACATTGGAGTGGGGGGTTCCCTGTAGCCCCTGGGGGCAGCAGCCTTGACAGTAACCAGTGCCCCCCGCCTCATGCCCTGCAGGGTCCACCCTCTGGAGCCACCATGGAGGAGCCCCCGATTTACTGCAACCTGGAGGAGATAAAGCAGGTGCGGGGGGAACCCCCCAACCCCAGCGGCCCCCCGCTGCAGGTGCTGGACACCTGGGAGCGCCACCTCGACCCCAGCACCGGCCGCAGCTACTTCTACAACCGGGAGACGGGCGACAAGTCTTGGAAACCTCCACGGCGCCACCGGGAGATGGTAGGGAGACGGGGGGGGGGGGGGGGTGGGCTGCCCCATTGTCCCCCTGGACTGGTGTACTGCCCGGCCTCCTGTGCCCTGGCCTGGCTTAGCCAAGCACCCGGGCTGCCCGCCAGGTGCCTGAGATAGCTGAGCACTAATTGCTCTAATGAAGCACGCCAGGGAGGGGAGGGAGCTGGGTGGGCCGTGGGCAGAACCCAGGAGTCTCCTGCTACGACAGTGTCCCAGGAACACAGTACCAGGAGCAGTGCAGGTCAGGAGGGGCCCCGGCAGAGCTGGTGGGGGGCGGGGCTGGGCTAGCAGGGGGCTGCGGTTTGGGAGTGAGGGGCATCACCATGCTGTGGGTTGGGGGGCACTCCCTGACTCGCTCCCCTCTCCCCTGCAGAGTTTGCTCCCCGTGGAGGCTCTGAGCCCCGAGCCCCCGGCAGCCGCCGACCCGGGGGGAGACGCTGACGCAGGGCGGGGACGGCGTCCAGGCCGGCCGGCTCGGCTACACCAAATCCATGATCTTGCCGGAATCCCGTGTGCCCAAGGTGAGATGCCCGCAGGGGGCCGGGGCCGCGTGGGGGGGGCTGGGTTAGCGTTCGGGGGGGGAGCCCCATGCAAATCCCGCATCCTCTTTCAGGAGGCAGGATGTTGGGGGGCAGAGTGTTCAGGGCAGGGTGTGGGGGGCAAGGTATTCAGGAGGCATGGTGGGGGGCAGAGTGGGGGGTATTGGGGGCATGGTGGGGGGAAGGTTGTGGGGGCTGGTTGTTGGGGGAAGGGTAGGGAGGCAGGGTGTGGGGGGCTGGTTGTTGGGGGCCAGGGTATTGGGGGGCTGGGTGGGGGGGCAGGGAGTTGGGGGGCCGGTAGGTGGGGGCAGGGTGTTCGGGGGCTGGGTGGGGGGGCAGGGAGTTGGGAGGCAGTGACCATCTCCCCTGCTCTCTCACTCTTTCTGCAGGTGTCTCACCGCAGGAATCGCTCCCAGCCCAGCTTTGAGGACTGGGTGGGGACCGGTCCCCCCACCACTTCCCCCGGGGGCTGCCCCCCTCACCCCTCTGACTTACCCCATGTGAGTTAATCCCCAGCCCCCTCCTGCTCCCCTGGGCCCCCCATGTGCTGACTGCACAGGAAACTCCCAGCCAGCAGCTCCCAAGGCCGGGGTGTGTGTGAATGGGCCCTGCCCCCCATCCCCTTGGTCACCCCCAAACGGATTCGATTCCCAAGAGCTGGCTGCAGCCTGGGTCCCCCACCGTGTGGTTCAGGCCAGGGGGCACTGGCCTGGGCAGGTCTGGGGGAGGGAGTGGGGGACAGGGCTGTGGGGGGTGAGGGGTGGGGTTGAGCAGGGGGCTGTGGAGGAGAGGGAGGGAGTGGGGGTCAGGGGCTGTGGGGGGTGGAGGGGCTGTGGGGGGCAGGGGCTGTGAGGGGTCAGGGGGCTGACAACTCTCCCCACGGCAGGAGGTGGAGAAGGCTGGGCAGCTGAACAAAACCAAGATTGCAGAGGGGGGCCGGAAACTCAGGTACGTGGTGGTGGTGGGGGAGGTCCCTGCAGCAAGTGTCAGGCATCCTGGGGGGGGCAGGAGGGGGGATCCCTGTGGTGGGGGGAGACATCCTGGGGGAGACGGGGGGGTCCCTGTGGTGGGGGGGAGATGTCCTGGGGGAGCAGGAGGGGGGTCCCTGTGGTGGGGGGAGGCATCCTAGAGGGCAGGAGGGGGGGTCCCTGTGACAGGGGGAGGCATCCTGGGGTGGCAGGAGGGGGGGTCCCTGTGGTGGGGGGAGGCACCCAGGGGGGCAGGAGGGGGAATCCCTGTGGCGGGGAGAGGCGGCGGGGGGGAGACAGGAGGTGGGGTCCCTGTGGCGGGGGCCTCGCCGTGGCTCCCCCTCTCCGGCGGGGCGCGGGGAGCCGCTCGGCCTCTCACAGCCCAGGGGTTTGGACAAGGGACGTCCTGGGCATGAAGGGACAAAGGGGCCTTTCTCAGCTGAACCTCGGGGCCCAAGGAAGGGGGAGTTCAGGGCATGGCGGGGGGGAGCTGGGGCTCCCGGGGGGTGGGAAGTTCCCGGGCAGCAAGGGGCGGGGGGGCTCCTGGGGACTGTCCCAGCTGGGCTCAGCCCCCTCTCTCTGGCAGGAAGAGCTGGGGCATCTCCTGGGTGGTGCTGGCTGGGAACAGCCTCGTCTTCTACAAGGATCTCAAGGGCCCGGCCCACACCAGCTGGGTGAGTGGGGGGCTGGGGGGGGGTGAGTGGGGACGGGGGGGGGTGTCACACCTGTCCCAGACCCCAGGAGATGGGAGCTGCCTGGGGAGGGACTGCGCTGCCCCCCAGGCCCCGCCTGTGCGAGCCCATGCTGCAGCCCAGGGGGTACTCAAGGCCCAGGGCCCCCCCCAGCAGCCCCATGGCTGAGCGATGCCCGTGGCTGCGGCCCTGACGCCCCCTCCCCTCGCCCCCCAGAGACCCGCCAGCAGCAGGCCTGAGAGCAGCGTGGACCTGCGGGGCGCGGTGCTGGAACGGGCACGAGACATGTCCAGCAAGAAGAACGTCATCCACGTGAGTGTGGGGGGAGCCCCGGCTCCCGGCCACGCCCCCCCCAAGGACCCAGAACCGCCCCCAGCTCCCAGCAACGCCCCCCAGGGTCCCAGAACCTTCCCTGGCACCCTTCGATGCCCCCCCAGGGACCCAGCAACCCCCCCTGGGTCCCAGCCACGCCTCCCAGGGACCCAGAACCTCCCCTGGCACCCTGCAATGCCCCCCCAGCTCCCAGTCACGCCTCCCAGGGACCCAGAACCCCCCCGGCTCCCAGCAACACCCCCCAGGGACCCAGAACCTTCCCTGGCACCCTTCAATGTCCCCCCCCAGGGACCCAGAACCTTCTCTGGTACCCTGCAATGCCCCCCAGGGACTCAGAACCCCCCCCCAGCTTCCAGCAACACCCCCCAGGGACCCAGAACCCCCCCAGGGATCCAGAACCCTCCCGGCTCCCAGCCACACCCCCCCCAGGGACCCAGAACCTCCCCTGGTACCCTGCAATGCCCCCCCAGGGACCCAGCAACCACCCCATGGACCCAGCAACACTCCCCCCCAGGGACCCAGAACCTCCCCCGGCACCCAGTGTCCCACCCTGGCCCCACCGCTGAGCTCCGGGGCTCCTGGACCCCTGCACCCCACGGTCCCTGTCCCCAGAGCAGCCTGGGAGATGCTCTCCTCAACTGCCCATGGGGGGGTGGCTTCTTGTCCCCCCAGGCGCCAGATGCCCCCCCAGGCCCTGCAGAGTCTGGGCGTCCCTGCCTGGCCCCTGACCTGCCTCTAGACCAGCCCCCTCTCCCCACAGGGGGCCTTGCGGGGGGGGGGGGGCCTGCCCCTGCCCGGCCCCCTGACCTGCCCGTGTCCCCCCGGCAGCTCCGCACAGTGACTGGCAACGAGTTCCTGCTGCAGTCGGACAGCGAGGCCGAGATCCAGGAGTGGCACCAGACTATCAAGGGCGTCATCCGTAGGCTGGTGAGTGCCAGCGGGCAAAGGGTTAACGCGGCCCAGGCCTCGGTATTGGGGGCCCCCACCCATGGGAAACCTGGGGACAGGAGGGGATAAAGGAGTTGCCCCCTGCTGACCTCCCCCCTGCTTTGCCAGTGCCCCTCACTCCCGACCTGCAGCCCCTGCTAGCCCAGCCCGGGGCTCCCCCCACCCAGCTCTGCTGGTGCCCCTCACTCCCGACCCGCAGCCCCTGGGCTCTGCCCCCCCAGCTCTGCCGGTGCCCCTCACTCCCAACCCGCAGCCCCTGCCAGCCCAGCCCGGGGCTCTGCCCCCCCAGCTCTGCCAGTGCCCCTCACTCCTGACCCGCAGCCCCTGCTAGCCCAGCCCGGGGCTCCCCCCACCCAGCTCTGCTGGTGCCCCTCACTCCCGACCCGCAGCCCCCTGCCAGCCCAGCCCGGGGCTCTGCCCTCCCAGCTCTGCCAGTGCCCCTCACTCCCGACCCGCAGCCCCTGGGCTCTGCCCCCCTAGCTCTGCCGGTGCCCCTCACTCCCGACCCGCAGCCCCTGCCAGCCCAGCCCTGGGCTCTGCCCCTCTGGCCTGACCTGCTGTCCCAGCCCTGGGTTGCCCCGAATGTGGGGAATGCCCAGCACACTGCCCCTCCCCCTCCATCCCCTTGTGTGGCTGGGAGTGGTTCCCATCCCCCGTCGCATTGCCCCCCCCCCATTGGCTGCTCCCCTGCCTGACGTGTCCCCCTGCGCCCCAGGACCGGGAGAACCCCCTGGACGAGCCGGGCTACGTGCTGCGCCGGGCCGGCAGCTCCGAGCTGGGGGAGCTGAGCGGGGATGAGGAGGACGACGGGCTGAGGCCAAAGGACAGCTGGAAATCCTCCGGTAGGTGCCCGCCGCAGGGGGGGACGGGGCTGGCCTTGGCGCTGGGGGAGGGGCGACGGGCCTGGAGGGCTCGTTGGCTGCTTCACCCCCCCTCTGCCCCCCTCCAGGTTCCACCTGCCGCCCGGACAGCACCGAGAGGAAGCGGGTCAAGAGCAAACTCCGGCGCTTCATCGTCAAACGCCCCCCCGCTGCAGAGCCTGCAGGAGAAGGGGCTCATCCGAGGTGGGGACCCCCTGCCCCCCACCCCCCTGTATCCCATCGCCCCATAATTCCCTGCACCCGCTCCCCTGTACCCCTTCCCCTGCTCCATACCTCCACCCCATCTCCTCCATCCACCTGCCTACTATCCCCCCTGCTCCCTGTCCCCCATTCCCCCTGCACCCCCTGACCCACCACTGCAGTGCCTGCAGGAGAAGGGGATCATCCAAGGTGGAGACCCCCTCCCCCATTGCACCCCCTGCCCCCCATTCCCTGCTCCCCATCTCCCTGTACCCCATTCCCTGCACCCCTGTCACGGAGTCCCCGGGTGATGCTCTGGGACGGCTCCCCACGAAGCCAGGCAGGACTCTGGGGAAGTTTCCTCTCTGGGAGCAGCCTCTCTGCAGGACACACAGCTCTCCCGGCTTCCACCTTCCTGGGTCTGACCTCGGAGCATTCAGCCTCCTCTGCCCCTCCCTGTGCTTCTCACAGCGAGTCCGCTCAGGTGGGGTCCTGGGGAAGCCAGAGGGTCCTGCCCCCCAACTCCGCAGTCAGACGGGACTCTCAGCCAGCCAGGAAAACAGAAGGTTTATTAGATGACAGGAACATGGCCTAAAGCAGAGCTTGTAGGTGCAGAGAACCAGACCCCTCAGCCGGGTCCATTTTGGGGGGCAGTGAGCCAGACCACCACGTCTGCCCTTCACTCCCCTTCACTCCGTGTCCCAGCCAGCCCCCAAACTGAAACTCTCTCTAGCCCCCCCTCCTCTGGGCTTTGTCCCTTTCCTGGGCCAGGAGGTCACCGGATTCCTTTGTTCTCCAACCCTTCAGCTCTCACCTTGCAGGGGGGAAGGGCCCAGGCCATCAGTTGCCAGGAGACAGGGTGTCGCCATTTGTGGACCTTGGCCCTTTGCTCTGCAACAATCACACCCCCTTATCCCACCATCTAGAGACTTAAGAAATGCATGGGGGAAACGGAGGCACCCCTACGGTATTCAGAGGAATCATTAAGAACAGTCCCACTTTGTCACAACTCCCCACACTCCATCCCCGGTACCCCTTCCCCACCCCCTGCTCCATACCTCCACCCCATCTCCCCCATCCCCTGCACCCCCACAACACCCCCACCCCCTGCTCCTCATCTCCCCCAGCCCCTCTGTAACCCACCCCCTGCTCTCCCACCATGGCAGAAGTCGCAGAAGAAGGGGCTCAATCAAGGTGGGGACCCCGTATGCTATGTACCACTCCTGTTGATACAGGATTGCATGGCCTTAGGGGACATTAGATGCAAATTATTTAATAAGGCAATCTGCATATTTGTAAAAACTGCCCCTCCCCTCACTCAGCCCGGCCTCCCTCCCCTGCTGGACCCTGTTCTCAGCCCCCCCAGCCTCCCCTTTTCACCCCCCCCAAACTTGGTGCCCCCAGCACCCCCAGTGGCCAGCTGCTGGGATTGCAGCTCTGTCCACAGCCCTGGTGGGGCAAAGGGACGGGCTGGGCAGCCCTTGAGGTGAGCGCAGGCCCCCCCAGGCTGTTTCTGCCCCCCTGAGGGCCCTTGATCCAGCCTGGTGCCCACCCCTGTCCTCTCTCCAGACCAGGTCTTTGGCTGCCGGCTGGACGCCCTGTGCCAGCGGGAGAAAGACACAGTGCCCCGCTTTGTCCGGCTCTGCGTTGAGGCTGTGGAGAAGAGAGGTAGGAGCCCCGCGGGCAGGTGCCCGGCATGCCAGGCCCCCCCAGCGTGGAGCCCCTCCCTCCCTGGGGCAGAGCCCGACCTGCCATTCGGGGGTGTCTTTCTGCGTGGGCCCCCCATGCGGGGTGTCCCAGTGCCCAGCCAGCGCCACCAGCACCTGGGGAGGGGGAAGAGACCTCAGACGGGGGGCAGGCATGCTCCCCCATGAGACCTCCAAGCGGGGCCTGGGGCAGGTGGGGGGGAACACGGGGCTCCGAGCAGGGCCTGGGGTAGGCACGCCCGCTCCAAACGGAGTTGTAGGCGGGGGGGCACACGGAACTCTGAGCGAGATGGGGGGGCAGGGGACACATGGGGCTCCAAACAGCGTTTGGGGGCTGGGTGAGGAGTACCCGGAGGGAGCTCGGGGGGGGGGGGGCAGGGGGCATACGGAGCTCTGAGCAGGGGCACGTGGGGCGCCACATGGAGCCCTGAACAGGGTCTGAGGGGTGGGTGGGGAGCACCCAGAGCTGTGAGCAGGGGCGGGGGGCAGGCAGGGGGCACATGGGGTTCCGTGGGGGTGGCGGGGGTCATAACTGCCCCAAGCAGGATCTCACCCCTCCCTCCCTGGCCCCAGCAGGCCTCGATGCGGACGGGATCTACCGGGTGAGTGGGAACCTGGCCGTGATCCAGAAGCTGCGTTTTGCCGTCGACCGGGGTGAGCGTCTGAGCCCGGGGCCGGGGTGGGGGTGGGGGGTGGGCAGCTGCCCTAGAAGCTGCTCCCTGCAGGGAGGTGGCTGCCCCTCACCATGGCCCTTGGCCTTTGCCCTGGGGCTGCAGTGCCCCACATCCCCATAACCTCGGCCCGTGGGGCTGCCAGCCAGGGTGGGGTCGTGATGGGCGTGTTCTTTTGCAGAGCGGGCAGTGACCTCGGACGGACGCTATGTCTTCCCGGAGCAGCCGTGCCAAGGTAGAGCCGGGCCGGGTGGGCACCATGCACGCGTCCCCTCCTCCTGTGGGGTGCCTGGCATTGCCAGCGGGTCACGCTGTGCTCAGGGGGCGCGGGGGCTTTCGACATGGGGGTGCCCGTGGCCGGGGGAGCACAGTGTGTGAGGGGGACCTGGGGGTGTCCATGACCTAGGGGTGCAGTGGGTGGGGGGTGCAGTGGCCCCCATATTCCACACTCTGGGCACGTGCTACCCATGGGGCTGGCTCGGTCTCTCCAGCTCAGCCGGGCCCGGCCCTGCACCCCTCGTGGTGCCCCCCCACGCTGCACCCCCCAGGGTTGACCCGCCCGTGTCCCCCAGAGGAGCGGCTGAGCCTGGCGGACCCCGAGTGGGACGACGTCCACGTGGTGACCGGCGCCCTCAAGCTCTTCTTCCGCGAGTTGCCCGAGCCCCTGGTGCCCTTCGCCCTCTTCGACGCCTTCGTGGCTGCCGTCAGTAAGGACCTGCCACCCCCCCCCCCCCAGCCGTCCTCCACAGGGCTTTCCCTGCGCCCAACCCCTCCCCCCAGCGGGGCTTCCCCTGTGCCCAGCCCCTCCCTGCGGGGCTTCCCCTGTGCCCAGCCCCATCGCTGGGTTTCCTCTGTGCTCAGCCCCTCCCCCCGCGGGGCTTCCCCTGTGCCCAGCCCCTCCCTGCGGGGTTTCCCCTGTGCCCAGCCCCTCCCTGCGGGGCTTCCCCTGTGGCCAGCGCCCCTCACCATGGGGTCTCCCGTGTGCCGCCTACCCCATGCCCCAATGCCAGGCAGGGGCAGGGGAGGTGGGGCTGGCTGATGCCCTGAGTGGCTCCACCCCCCGTTGTGGGCCCCCCAACCTCAGGGGCCCAGGCTACCTGAGTCACTGGCAGCTCCCCCTCCCCGCGCAGCCAGTGCCCACAGACTCCGGGGTGGGGGCAGCCCTGGGGCCCCCGTGCCCCCATCTCGTCCAGCTGCAGAGCCACGTCGCTTCTTCCCACAGAGCTCCCGGCCGGTGCCGAGCGGGTGCAGCGCCTGGCCGAACTGGTCCAGAGCCTGCCCCCACCTAACTACGCCACGCTGCGCTACATCCTGGCCCACCTCCGCAAGTAAGTGGGGGGCTGGGAAATCCAGGGGGGTCAAATATCCCCAGGGTGGGGAGCAGAGCCAGGGCCTGCAGGTTGGGATTGAGGGGCCCCAGCAGCCGTGGAGGGAAGCGGGTCGGGGTTGAAGGAAACCGGTGGACATGAGGGGCAGAGGGTTGGGACTGGGGGGCCCCGGCGGGCATGGGGGGCAGCGGGTCAGGATTGGAGGGTTCCAGCAGATATGGGGGGCAGTGGGTCAGGATTGCCCCAGAATGGGGGAGGGGTGGGGATTGGGGGAGTGGGGTGGGGGGAGTGGGTCAGGATTGAGGGGCCCCAGTGGCCGGGGGGGTCCGTGGGTCAGGATTGAGGGGCCACGGCGGCCATGGAGGCTGTGGATAGGGATTGGGGGCCCCAGGTCGGGATTGGAGGGCCACAGTGGCCGTGGAGGGCTGTGGGTCGGGATTGAGGGGCCCCGGTGGCCGTGGGTCGGGATTGAGGGGCCCGGCGGACATGGGGGGCTGCGGGTCGGGATTGGGGGACCAAGTGGCCATGGGGGGCTGTGGGTCGGGATTGGGGGGGCCGTGGCAGACATGGGGGGCTGCGGGTCGGGATTGGAAGGTCCCAGGGGCTGTGGGTTGGGATTGGGGGGCCCTGGCAGACATGGGGCGCTGCGGGTCAGGATTGGAGGGCCCCAGTGGCCATGGGGAGCTGTGGGTCGGGACTGAGGGGCCCTGGTGGCCGTGGGTCGGGATTGAGGCGCCTGGCAGACACAGGGGGCTGCGGGGCAGGATTGGAGGGCCCCAGTGGCTGTGGGGGGCTGTGGGGTGGGATTGTGGGGCCTTGGCAGACACGGGGGGCTGTGGGGCGGGATTGAGGCCCCTCTCTGCCGCCCCCCAGGGTGATGGAGTACGCCGAAGTGAACCGCATGACCCGGCAGAACATCGGCATCGTCTTCGGCCCCACGCTGCTGCGTCCCGAGAAGGAGCTGGCCAGCATGGCCGTGGACATGGTCCACCAGAACCAGGCCGTGGAACTGCTGCTCTCCGACTTCCAGCGCATCTTCCCGGCCCCCGGCGCCAACTGAGCCCCTGGCCGGGCCTGGGGCCCGGGCCCCGAACCCCTGCCCAGGATCAGGACCGCCGCCTAGCCCACACTGGGCTCAGCGCAGCCAAGGACAATGGCCCCGTCTCACCCCCAGGCGTCGGACCATGGAGACCCTGCATGGGAGCCGGCGTCCCCGAGCAGGGAAAGGCCCCGTGGCCCGTTCCCCACCCCCCTGAGCCAGCCTGTGCCCCGCCCTGGGGCCGGATCGGAGCCCCTGCCCTGCCGGGTCTGTGCGTGCCCAGGGCACCATCTGTCTGGACTCACGAGCCCGGGGCCGGGCAGTAAATGGCCATCGGCCCAGGGAGCCCCCCAGTCTCTATGCTGTGATTTGCTGCGGGGGAGGGGGTGTGACGAAGTGGGACTGTTCTTAATGTTTCTTCTGAATAGTGTGGGGGTGCCTCAGTTTCCCCTAGGCAGTTCTCAAGTCTCTAGGGGGTGGGATAAGGGTGTATGATCATTGCAGAGCCCTAGAGGGCAGGTGTGTGCAGGGGTCTGGACACAGAGAATGGCCGACACCCTGTTTCCTGGCCACTGATGGCCTGGGCCCTTCCCCCCTGCAAGGTGAGAGCTAAAGGGTTGGAGAACAAAAGAATCCGGTGCCCTCCTGGCCCGGGAAAGGGACAAAGCCCAGAGGAGGGGGGCTGGAGAGAGTTTCAGTTTGGGGCTGGCTGGGGATGATGAGTGAAGGGCAGACGTGGTTGTCTGGCTCACTGCCCCCCAGAATGGACCGAGCTGAGGGGTCCTGTTCTCTGCACCTGCAAGCTCTGTGTTAGACCATGTTCCTGTCGTCTAATAAACCTTCTGTTTTACTGGCTGGCTGAGAGTCCCGTCTGGCTGCAAAGTTGGGGGGGCAGGACCCTCTGGCCCCCCCAGGACCCCACCTGGGCGGACTCGCTGGGGAAGCGCATGGAGGGGCAGAGGATGCTGAAGGCTCTGGGGTCAGACCCAGGAAGGTGGAAGCTGTGTGTCCTGCAGACAGTCTGATCACAGAAAGGAGACTTCCCCAGAGACCTGCCTGGCTTCGTGAGGAGCAGTTCCAGAGCATTGCCCAGGGACCCCGTGACAACTGGTGGCAGAGGTGGGATGTATTGCACCCCGTGGATGGCACTTCCTGCAGTAAGTGACTTGGGATCAGTAAAACGAAGGGGGATTGACGGGGACCAGGCGTGCTGCTGAAGATTCAGAGAGAGACGGTTTCAGGGGGCGGTTAACCCCTGGGAGTGTGTGACCAGAGAGAATGACTTTTGCAGTAACAGGGTTCCCCTGGGGATTGCAGCGAGCGGTCCCAGGGGTGGAGGAGTCTGCCGCTTGACCCTGGCAAAGAGGTGGTGACCTCGAGAAGGGCTGGCACACGAGGGGTTCTCCCTGGAAACCGTGGGGAGCTGAGAGCACACAGGCCTGTGAGTCCACAACAACTTGGGAGGAGCGGAGTGACGGCCTGTCACCGTCTCCTGAAGAAGGACATTGTAACCCTGTGCAGAAAGAGAGGGTTGAGCGTTGGAAAGTGCACCAAAGCAGAGTTAATCCTGCAGCTGGAGGAGGATGACCGCTCTAAGGAACAGATTCCTGACCCCAACTGGGGCTATAGCAGGATCAGGGAGCAGCTGGAGTGGTAGCCAGGCACCCCCAAGACTCCTGTCCCCGACCAGACGGGGGTCTTCACGATCGGGTTCCCCATCGGGGGATCGAGACGGACGGGATTGGAGCTGAGTCTGAGAGAGCGAGAGGACCGTGAGAGACAGCGAGAGCCCGAGAAAGAGCTGCAGAAGCAGCAGCAGGATGAACTGGCGGTGGGGGAGCGGAGAGGCCTAGGGGACCCCCCAGGGGTGAGTGGGGATAGACCCTGGGGGGCCAGTTCCGCAGGGAACCTCGAGATTAAATTGCTGCCCCTGGTTGAGGAGGGGGGGTGTGGATGCCACCTCACTGCCTTTGAGCAGGCTGGCGATTTGAACCAAGGGGACCATGCGGAAAAGCCCTGGTGTCTAGCTCCCTTGCTGGGTCCCAAGGCCATAGACTCCGTCAGCCAGATGGGTGGGGAGGTGGACAGGCTCCCACTCCTGACCCCAACCTATATGTCTGTGTGGAAGGTGATGGTCAATGGGGAGACATTCCTGGGGTGGTGAGATCCTGGGACAGAGAGAACGGTTGTCAGGCCCTGGGTGGTGCAGCCTCAGATACCGAGGGGCTGTGTGAGGGTCCCAGGGATGAAGCCCCTCGCCCTGCCTATGGCCCAGATCCCTGTGCAGACCCAGGAGGGGTGGGGCTGGCTGGTCATTGGGGTTCTCCAGGATACCAGCTGCGAGACCCTGTTAGGGGGTGACTTTGTCTCTTTGGGACAGGATCCAGGCCCTGCTCCTGTAATGGCCGAGGGTTTGAATTTGAATCCAGGGAACCAATCTGCGGAGAGGGAAATGGTCAGTGAAAATGCAGATGACCTGGCTGGCGGGGGGGGGGGGGAAGGAGCGGCTAGGCTCAGCTACCTGTCTGCCTGTAAGCAGACCCCTGGGGCTGGGCAGACAGAGAGATGCTCCCCGCCCCCTTGCACACCGGAGAGGGGGCTCAGGGGGCTCACGCTGGCTCTGATGCAGTGAGGAAAGCAGGGAGCTCGCTGCCTACCCCCTCTGGGACAGCAAGGGCAGCGCTGAGCATAGTGGGAGCTGAGACCCCAGCTGAGTGGGGGGAGACACAGGCAGGGGAGGGGATCTGTGGGGAGTGGCAAGGTGCTTGGTAAGGAAAGTTTGGATGAGCCTAGGCAGCCTTGTGAGCTGACGGCTGTGTCTAGCGAGGAGGGTGGAAGATGAGTGTCCCTGGACCTTACCTGTTAGCTGGGTGGAGAAGTGTGACAGGGAAGGAAACGTGCCTGTGTCTGTCAGGGGTATTGACTTGCCTATGGAGGGAGCTACCCTGGTCTCCAAGCAGTTGTCTGTGACCAGCCCTGTGTGCTGGGACAAGGGGAATGAGATCCCAAGCTGTGGGTCTGGGAGAGGAGAAAGTGTGTCCGGCTCTTCTTTGTCCGTGGAGCAGACAGAAGGGGCCTTTCAGCCTGTGATGACTGAGGGTCGTGCAGTTGTCTCAGAGTTGGTTCTGGATTCAGCTAAAGCCCAGGAAGGGAAGGGTCCAAAGTTTGGGTCTGCTCAGGAGAATGGCCCTGTAATTAGGTTGCATCCAGTTAGTGTCTATGTAAAATCCCAGAGACCAGGCAATTCGGGTGCTTGTATTTTGCCCGTAGCTAGTGTGTTGTTGGGAAAGGGTGTCGCAACTCTGTCTCATCAGGGTGAGATCCTAGCCAGGGCACAAGGAGAGCATGAAGGTGATGTGATTGTGTTACCGACTGAGGGTGTGGAAACCTGCAGCAAGAAGGAAAAGATTCCTGAACTTGTGTGTGGCAAAGGGAAGGAGAATGCTTCTGATCTTCTATCTAGGAAGTCTGTCAGTTTTCCTGAAAGGGGATTGTGTAGGAATCCGCCGGATGGGCCAGAGGTAATTCTGGATTTGAGTGAGACCCAGAAAGATCTGTTGTTGCTCAGGAAAGTGTTCCTCTAGAGCAAGCCCTAGGTAAAGAGGGTAAGAGCAAAAAGAAAAGGAGTACTTGTGGCACCTTAGAGACTAACCAATTTATTTGAGCATGAGCTTTCGTGAGCTACAGCTCACTTCATCAGATGCATACCGTGGAAACTGCAGCAGACTTTATATACACACAGAGAATATGAAACAATACCTCCTCCCACCCCACTGTCCTGTTGGTAATAGCTTATCTAAAGTGATCAACAGGTGGGCCATTTCCAGCACAAATCCAGGTTTTCTCACCCTCCACCCCCCCACACAAATTCACTCTCCTGCTGGTGCTAGCCCATCCAAAGTGACAACTCTTTACATAATCAAGTCGGGCTATTTCCTGCATACATCCAGGTTTTCTCACATCCCCCCCACCCCCATACACACACAAACTCACTCTCCTGCTGGTAATAGCTCATCTAAACTGACCACTCTCCAAGTTTAAATCCAAGTTAAACCAGAACATCTGGCTGAGGGGTGAATTGTTGCATAGAAAAGCCCTCGGGAAAGGAATCCTCATGGAGTCTTTGCAAGCAGTTTACTGCCACTGAAGGGTGTGAAAGTGATTTAATCAAGAGTGTTTCAGGTCCTAACAGCCAGAAATTTTCTGTTCTGAATGGATCCACTGACTTTCCTGTTGAAAGATCCAGTGTGGATAGCTTTGAGAAGGTCTCAGATGGAGTGAAAGCAGTTAAGAAAGTTAAACAGTCCTATAAACAAGTGGCTGTGTTTGGCCAGCTTGTTGGGGAGAAGACCCAATCGCAGTTTGACCCCCTGGGGTTTTGGGGGTGGCCAAAGGGCACGGGCCGCATAAACCTTCCCACATGCAGCCTGTGAGTGCTATCGACCACCCCCAACCTAAGGGAGGGCGTGACACTGGAAGGGCCTGGTGTAACTCCTACCAAGGAATGGGAGAGATGCTGGGGCATTCATGGGAACATTGGTGGCTTTGAACTTCCCCAGGTCACTGGCTAAAGTGACCTTGCTCAGTTCAATATCAAAGGGGGGAGAGATGTGACGAAGTGGGACTGTTCTTAATGTTTCTTCTGAATAGTGTGGGGGTGCCTCAGTTTCCCCTAGGCAGTTCTTGAGTGTCTGGGTGGTGGGGTAAGGGTGTATGATCACTGCAGAGCCCTAGAGGGCAGGTGTGTGCAGGGGTCTGGACACAGAGAATGGCCGACACCCTGTTTCCTGGCACCTGATGGCCTGGGCCCTTCCCCCCTGCAAGGTGAGAGCTAAAGGGTTGGAGAACAAAGGAATCTGGTGACCTCCTGGCCCGGGAAAGGGACAAAGCCCAGAGGAGGGAGGGCTGGAGAGAGTTTCAGTTTGGGGCTGGCTGGGACATGGAGCGAAGGGCAGCCGTGGTTGTCTGGCTCACTGCCCCCCCAAAATGGACCCAGCTGAGGGGTCCTGTTCTCTGCACCTGCAAGCTCTGTGTTAGACCATGTTCCTGTTGTTTAATAAACCTTCTGTTTTCCTGGCTGGCTGAGAGTCACGTCTGACTGCGGAGTTGGGGGGCAGGACCCTCTGGCCCCCCCAGGACCCCGCCTGAGCGGACTCGCTGTGGGAAGCGCAGGGAGGGGCAGAGGAGGCTGAATGCTCCGAGGTCAGACCCAGGAAGGTGGAGCCGGGTGAGCTGTGTGTCCTGCAGACAGGCTGCTCCCAGAGAGGAGACTCCCCAGAGTCCTGCCTGGCTTCATGGGGAGCAGTTCCCGAGCATCACCCGGGGACTTCGTGACAGGGGGTCACCCCAGTTACTGTGACCTGGAGGTGGGGGGTCCCAAGGGGCCAGGCAGAGGGGTCAGTTAGGCTGCTAGTCCCTCCCCCAATTGCTTCCCCTCTAACCCATTGGCCCCCCCCACTCCCCTCCCTGAGGATAGAAGCCAGGAGGCCCTTGGGGGCACCAACCCCATTGCCCCCCGCCCCACTGTCTTGCGGGCACTGGCCCCGCTCCGCACGGGACCCAGCCATGCCGAGGGGGCGTGGTTATTGATTTATTGATTTCTCTCACCAGTTTACAATCAGACCCCCCCCCCCGCGCACACATCCTGTTGGGCTCCTTCGTGGGCTGCAGAGCGAAACTCCCTGGGTGCCCCGGGAACAGGTCGGGGGGGAGGGGGGGCAGCGGGAGGGCAGGAAAGCTTTGCCACTAGGCTCTGCTGAGCAGCGTCAACGTCGGGCTCTGGGGCAGGGTGCCCATGGTGCCCGCCCAGAGGGGCAGGGAGCCGCAACTAGCTCCAGGACGTGCCTGCCCAGCTGCCCAGCCCGGCGCTGAGGGGCCGGGCCTGAGGGCACCTGGCGCTGATGGGGCCCTGGCCTGTGGCCCGACCCCCCTGCAGACACATGGGGGAGTCGCAGGGGGTGGGGAGCAGCATCTCCCCGGGGCCGAGTCCTGGGGCCAGTGGTGGGGTGGGGTCTCCCTGAGGTTCTGGTGCCCACAGTGGGCAGGGGTCGGGGGGCAGGGTCTCCTTGCGGGGGACAGGGGTGGGGGTGAGGGTCGCCCGCTGGTGGCCGGGGTGTCGCCCTGGAGACTGTGGGCAGTACCAGGGGTCTGCTGTGGGGGATGGGGGCCGGGGTGTTGCCCTGGTGACAGGGGGTAGGGGCGAGGGTCTCCCGGTGGGGGACGAGGGCTGGGGTCTTCCTGTGGGGGGAGGGGAGGGTGTCACCTTGGCGACAGGGGGTTGGGGTCTCCCCCTTGGGGGGCGGGGACCAGGATCTTCCCGTGTGGGGCGGGGGTCTCCCCTTGGGGGGCGGGGGCTGGGGTCTCCCCCTGGGGGGCGTGGCTGGGCACGGGGGTCTCCCCGAGAGGGGCAGGGGTCTCCCCACGGGGGGCGGGGGCTGGGGTCTCCCCCTGGGGGGCGTGGCTGGGCACGGGGGTCTCCCCGCGGGGGCTGGGGGCGCCCCAGGCCCGGCAGCAGCCCTGCCGGTGGTTGAGGTGCTGAGAGTAGGAGCCGGAGTGGGAGAAGCGGCGGGCGCAGCGGGCGCACTGGAAGGGGCGCTCCCCGGAGTGCAGCCGGGCGTGTTCCCCCAGGTGGTGCTTGTGCTTGAAGGCCTTGGGGCAGAGCGGGCAGCGGTGCGGGCGTCTCCCTGTGGGGACGGGCACGTCAGAGCGGGGACCCCCCGCCCCCCGTCTCCCCAACCCCCCCGCTGGGCTCCCCCCCCACCCCGTCTCCCCAACCCCCCCCACAGGGCTTCCCCCGTCTCCCCAACCCCGGCCGCCCCCGCTGGGCTCCCCCCACGTCTCCTCAAACCCCCCCGCTGGGCTCCCCCCCCACCCCGTCTCCCCCCATCTCCCCAACCCCAGCCTCTCCGCTGGGCTCCTCCCACGTCTCCTCAAACCCCCCCGTCTCCTCAACCCCGGCCCCCCCCGCTGGGCTTTCCCCCCACCCCGTCTCCTCAACCCCAGCCTCCCCCCCCCCATCTCCCCAACCCCAGCCTCTCTGCTGGGCTCCCCCCACCATCTCCTCAAACCTAGCCTCCCCCCGCATCTCCCCAACCAGGCTTCCCCCTCACCCCGTCTCCCCCAACCCCCCCCCCCACAGGGCTTCCCCCATCTCCCCAACCCCAGCCTCTCCGCTGGGCTCCCCCCTGTCTCCCCCACCCCGTCTCCTCAACCCCAGCCTCCCCCTGCTGGGCTTCCCCCACCCCGTCTCCCCAATCCCGGCCCCCCCCGCTGGGCTCTCCCCCCCGTCTCCCCAACCCCAGGCGACCCCCCAGCTCACCCGTGTGCTCGTACTGGTGCCGCAGGAGGGAGCTGCTCTTCCGGAAGGTTTTGGGGCAGAGCTCACACAGATACAGCCCTTCGGGGGTCCTCCGCAGCCACCTCCGGCTGCCCCCCGGCTCCCTGCCCGCCTGCAGGGGGCGCCACCCAGCCCCGCCGGCTCCCTGGGGGGGTGAACGGGGCCTTCAGTGGGGCCAAGACTGGGAGCTCCGCAGCCCCCCACGGCCGGCAAGGGCCAAACCAGGGAAAGGGGGGGCCTCTGCCAGCAACACCCCCCAGCTCTGCCGGTGCCCCTCACTCCCGACCCACAGCCCCTGCCAGCCCCCAGCCCTGGGCTTCCCCCCCCCCCCCCAGCTCTGCCGGTGCCCCTCACTCCCGACCCACTGCCCCTGCCAGCCCCCAGCCCTGGGCTCCCCCCCCCCAGCTCTGCCGGTGCCCCTCACTCCTGACCCACTGCCCCTGCCAGCCCCCAGCCCTGGGCTCCCCCACCCCCAGCTCTGCCGGTGCCCCTCACTCCTGACCCACAGCCCCTGCTAGCTCAGCCCCAGACTCCCCCCCCGCCCCAGCTCTGCCGGTGCCCCTCACTCCTGACCCGCAGCCCCTGCTAGCTCAGCCCCAGACTCCCCACCTCACCCCCCAGCTCTGCCGATGCCCCTCACTCCTGACCCGCAGCCCCTGCCAGCCCCCAGCCCTGGGCTCCCCCCCCCCAGCTCTGCCGGTGCCCCTCACTCCTGACCCGCAGCCCCGCTTTCCCAGGGCAGTTTCTCACCAGAGGCCCGTGTTGCTCCCAGTGGCCCGTGGTCAGTGCCGGCCCTGCCTCCGCCCCATACGGGTAGAGCAGAAAAGGCAGGAACTGGGGGGCCGGCAGCTCCGGGTTCCCGTGCAGCCGAGGGGCCCCGTGCGGGAGGAGATGGCTGAGGGTGCTGGGCAGGAAGGCTGGGAAGAGGGAGGTGGCCATGTAGAGGGGCTCATAGGGCAGCCGGGTCGGGGGCTCCTCCGAGGGCACCGGGCTGGGCTTGGGAAGAGACAGGTCCAACGGCTGCTCCATGGTGGGGGTCTCGGGGGGGGCCTGGTCAGGGCCAGACCCTGGCACATTGGTGTCCCTGGGTCCCTCCATTCCCGGGTCAGGGGGGCCCGGAAGGGGCCGGGCCGGGCCGGGGCTGTGCAGGGAGCTGAGGTCCGGGCCGTAGGCCCCACAGCCCCCCGCCTGGCCCCCCCGGGGCCTGGCAGCACATGGGCGGCTCTCCCACGGGGCCGGGGAGTCGGGGGCGGGCAGCAGGCAGCGGTGGGCGCTGAGGTGCGAGCTGTAGGAGCCCGAATGGGAGAAGCGCTTCTGGCAGGTGGCACATTCGTAGGGCTTCTCGCCTGGGGGGACGGAGACAGGGGTCAGTGCTGGGGGTGGGACAGACGGACAGACACGGGCCGGGGGGGGAGTAACACGAGCTCTGAGAGCCGCTGGAGGTGAGAAAAAGAGAGGCAGGGCCTGTCCCCCCCGCCACTATCCCAGCCCCCCGCTCTCACTCTGAACGCTGGGACACGGGGGTATGGGCTGCATGGGAGGTTGGGGGGCCCTCCGCACTGTGGATGCGCTGACTGGGGGGGGAGACAGAAGGGTCTCCGTGCTGTGGATGCACCGACAGTGGGGGGGTACAGTGGGGGGGAACAGAGGGGGGCGGGGGGTCTCACCGCTGTGATGCGCCGACAGTGGGGGGGACAGAGGGGGCGGGGGGGTCTCACCGCTGTGATGCGCCGACAGTGGGGGGCACAGTGGGGGGGGGGAGACAGAGGGGGGGGGGGGTCTCACCGCTGTGGATGCGCTCATGCTCCTTCAGGTGGTGTTTGTATTTGAAGCCCTTCCCGCAAGCCGGGCACCCAAACCGACGTGTCTCCGTCTGCCCCGAGACAAACCCCCCTCGTTAGGGGCTGGACAGAGCCCCCCAGCTCTCTCCGCCCTCCCCCACTGCCCCCGCCCCAGCTTCCCCTTGGCTCCCTCGGCCCCCAGCTCCCCTCGGGGCTCAGCCTCCCCCGACCTTCCCGGTGACCGAGCCCCTGCGGCTGGCGATGCCCAGCCCCCGGTGCTCCCCCCGCCCCCCGCTGTGCCGTACCTGGCTGGGGGTGGGGGGCGCTGGGGGCCGGCTGAGCTGGGCCGGGCCGCCCAGGGCCCCCTGGGGCTGGAGCCGGGTGCGCGGGCTCAGGCAGACGAAGGGGCGAGATCCGCACTCGCAGGGGGGGGCACCCGGCCATGGCGCCAGGGCTCCGGGGGGCTCCGGAGTCCGACCTGGGGAGAGAGAGCAGCGTCGCCAGCCACAGCACCAGCCAGGGCTGGGCGGGCAGGGGCTGCGGGTCGGGAGTGAGGGGCACCGGCAGAGCTGGGTTGGGGGAAGCCCAGGCCTGGGCTGGCAGGGGCTGCGGGTCGGGAGTGAGGGGCACCGGCAGGGCTGGCGGGGCAGAGCCCAGGGCTGGGCGGGCAGGGGCTGCGGGTCGGGAGTGAGGGGCACCGGCAGAGCTGGGGAGGCAGAGCCCAGGGCTGGGCTAGCAGGGGCTGCAGGTCGGGAGTGAGGGGCACCAGCAGAGCTGTGGGGCAGCCCCAGGCTGGGATACCCACTGGAGGGGGCCAGGCTGGTGCTGAAGGTGGAGTTTGCCGCTAGGACTTACCATGGTTGGGGTCCGGATGGCTGCGTCTCTGCTGCATTTCGGCTGCAGCCCCGCCTTGGTCTCCGGGCGCTGGCAGGAGGGCAGCCGTGGGGCTGGGGCCCTGGCTCAGCTCAGTCTCCTGTGGGTCCCCGTCCCCCTTGAAAGCCAGCGCTGCAGCAGGAGAGACTGGAGCCGGTCAGGGACGGGGAGAGAAACTCGGGCAAGCCCGAATCACCCCGTCCATCACCTGCCTGGCCCAGCAGCTCCAGCCCCACACGGCCTTGTGGAGCCCCAGGGCAGGTTCTGGGGAGACTCACCGCTAGCCACCCTCCCTGTGGCCCAGGCAGGTCGGGTGGAGCTCCCCTTGCACATCCGGCCCCAGCCTCAGCCGGGCGCTGCAGCAACAGGTGTGAAAACGCCCCAGGCCAAGCCCTGGGCCCTGCACCGAGGCCCAGCAGCCCCCCATAGGGAGGGGGGCGGAAATCGGCCCAGGCACTCGGCCCCCACCTGGGTGGGGTCGTGGACTCAGCGCTGCCCTGCTGTGGGAAGAGAGGTTGCAGGGAACGCTTGGCCCCACAGGGGTGTCATGGGGGGGGAGGGATCCCAGGGGAGCAGCTGGTGGGGGTGTGTGTGTGTGTGTGTGTTTGTCCCCGCCAGCCCTGAAAACCCTCACCGGGGGCTGGGAGGAGAGGCAGCCTGTCCTGCAGCCCCCCGCCACGGCTGGAGGGGCCCTGGACAGGCGAAAGGGCTTTGGCTCCCAGCAGCCCCGGGAATTCCCCCTCCAGGTGCCCTGGGCAACCAGAGAGCGCCCGCACCTGGGGCAGGACCAGAAATACCAGCTGGACAGAGAGAGCCAGGCCTGCGAGGGTTAACCCCCCCCCCCCCCGCCGGCACAGACAGATGCAGGGCGCCCTGAACCCCCTTCCAGTTCACGGGCACGTGTCACAGTAACACACCCGCATGACACCCCCCCCCCATTCACTGCACATGCAAACACATAATTATAATAACCTGGAGGAGGCTGGAGGCGGATCCCCCCCATCCCATCAGATGCTCGCCCTGGCTTGTTATTGTAGGGTCTCCGGGGCACAGGGCCGCTCGCCCTGGTGGCCGGGAGTGGGGGGGGGGCAGGGCCTGCTGCCCAAGTCTCCCTGGGCAGGGGCAAGGGCTGGCATGGCCTGTTCTGTTCTGAGTCAGACTCACCACAAGCGAGATCCGCGGGGGGCCGGAGGAGCAGGGCCCTTGGGGACAAGGAGGGCGGAACGAGGCCTGGAAACTCCCCGAGGCCCATCAAGGCGGGGGCAGGGAGCTGGCAGCCCCTCGCTGCAGCCGTGATGCCATCTCCACCAGGGTGGCAGGAGCGCGGGGCGGGGAGACAGCCAGGGACGGGGTTAGCACCTTGGGCACATGCCCCCTCGCCGCCACACGCTCCTCCCCCGAGCCTGGCCTGCCTCTGGCACCAGCCACCAGTAGCACAGACAGTCACCAGGGGGCTGACGGGGGGAGCCCAGGGCTGGATGGCAGGGGGCTGCGGGTCGGGAGTGAGGGGCACCGGCAGAGCTGGGTGGGGGCCCCTCTAGGCTCCAACTTCACCTCCCTGTTCCCCACCTTGCAGGACTTTTGCTTTCCTTAGACGGACTCCCTTCCCCCCCCCCCCGCCCCGCAGCTTCTATGGGGCTGCCCCTGCCCAGTGGGGCTGCCCCTGCCCCGTCATGCCAGGAGTTGGGGGAGGGGAGGTGTGACGGGAGGTTTCCAGGAGAAGCTGTTTCACTTCCTGCCCGAGGAGGCTGCTCTTGGCCTGAGGGGGTGGGGAGCTCCAGCCCCCCTGCCCCCACCCCGGGGCACAGACTCTCCATGCTGGAGGGAACCTGGCCCCATCCTCACCTCTGACTAGGGCTGCGGGTCGGGAGTGAGGGGCACCGGCAGAGCTGGGTGGGGGGGCAGAGCCCAGGGCTGGGCTGCAGGGGCTGCGGGTCGGGAGTGAGGGGCACCGGCAGAGCTGGGTGGGGGGGCAGAGCCCAGGGCTGGGCTGGCAGGGCCTGCGGGTCGGGAGTGAGGGGCACCGGCAGAGCTGGGTGGGGGGGCAGAGCCCAGGGCTGGGCTGGCAGGGGGCTGCGGGTCGGGAGTGAGGGGCACCGGCAGAGCTGGGTGGGGGGGCAGAGCCCAGGGCTGGGCTGGCAGGGGCTGCGGGTCGGGAGTGAGGGGCACCGGCAGAGCCCGGTGTGGGGGCAGAGCCCAGGGCTGGGCTGGCAGGGGCTGGGGGTCGGGAGTGAGGGGCACCGGCAGAGCTGGGTGGGGGGGCAGAGCCCAGGGCTGGGCTGGCAGGGGCTGCGGGTCAGGAGTGAGGGGCACCGGCAGAGCTGGATGGGGGGGCAGAGCCCAGGGCTGGGTTGGCAGAGGGCTGCGGGTCGGGAGTGAGGGGCACCGGCAGAGCTGGGTGGGGGGGCAGAGCCCAGGGCTGGGCTGGCAGGGGCTGTGGGTCGGGAGTGAGGGGCACCAGCAGAGCTGGGTGGGGGGGCAGAGCCCAGGGCTGGGCTGGCAGGGGCTGTGGGTCGGGAGTGAGGGGCACCGGCAGAGCTGGGTGGGGGGGCAGAGCCCAGGGCTGGGCTGGCAGGGGGCTGCGGGTCGGGAGTGAGGGGCACCGGCAGAGCTGGGGGTGGGGAGCCATGTCAGCCCGTGGGGCCCAGCCAGGTGCCCCCAGGAGGGTCCGTAGCTGGCACGGAGCCACGGGGCTGGCAGGCCGCACACCCCGGCGGGCGCTCGCTCGCGTGCGGAGAAGGGGCCGTTTCCTTCCCAGCTCACTGGCTCAGTTGCCTGGCCAGCCCCCGCCCTGCTGGGGACCCCGTGAGAACAGATGGACACCGCAGGGTGGGGGGAGCGGAGGGGAGGGCGCCGAGCCGGGCAGCATGGGTGGGAGCTGAATGTTCCCAAGCCTGGCCCCTGACGCAGCCCAGGGGAGGGGGGTGGAAACCCTGAGCTGGGCTCCCAGCCCCACATCAGTGCCCAGGGGGCAGGGAATAGCTGGCTCAGGGGGCAGCGTGGGGCAGGCTCATCCCCTGGCGCCGAGACCGCCCGGGCCTGGCAGGGTCACTGCCCTGGGTGGGGACGGGCCGACACCACTGTCCCATGGCCAGAGCTCCAACCCACCCAGGAATGGGGGGGACCAGCCCTGGGGGGGGTACCAGGGACGGGAGAAGACACGGGGTCCTGCAGTCCCACATGTTCACAGACACACAGTCACACACACGCACACGCAGTCAGACACCCAGATGCACAGTAACACGCAGGCGCTGGGCTGGGGGGGGATGGTGCTGGGCTGGGGGGGGGCGGTGCTGGGCAGTGGTTTCACACACTCACATGGGGGGGGACTCAGAGGTAGCTGCCAAACACAGGGACCCGCCTGGGCATCGGGGTCAACTCCAGTCAGAGTCTCAGACAGCGAGGGAGTTGTCAAACTTCGCACACACACCCCAGCCGTGCCAGTGCCCCTCACTCCCAACCCCCCCACCCCCCCCCACTAGCCCAGCCCTGGGGGCACCCTCTGCAGGGGGACAGTGGGAGGCGGGGTCAGTGTGCTGATGGGGAGCGGCAGCGTGTGCTGGGGGGGAGGGGCAGCGTGTGCTGGGGGGGAGGGGCAATGGGGGGTGGGGGCAGCGGGTGCTGGAGGCAGTGGGAGGGGGGCAGTGCGTAAGCGGGCAAAACCTGGCCAGGCTGGCCCTGTTCCAGGCCATCAAGTTGGGGCGTTGTCCCAAGTGGGGCAAGAGGGGAGCAGGGACCCGGCGTCCGTCCCTCCCTCCCCAGCCCCTGGGTCCTGCTGCCTGGGGTCCCCGGCACCCCTTCCCACCGGGCCCTGCTTGGTGCAGCCCCCCTCCCAGAGCCAGGTGCCCGGGGCAGCCATGCAGCAGGGCTCCCGGGCACACGGCCCAGCCTGGCGCCCCAGGGCCAGCCCCACCCATCAGGGGCCTTTGAAGATGCGCGTGGGGTGGTACCTGTACGAGGCAGGTACCAGCTGAGATACCGGCCGCAGCCTCCACCCCGGGGAGCTCAGCTGCTCGGCTCCGGCCCCCCCACAGGCCCTGGGGCCCCCACCGCCCCATGCCCCAGGCTCACGGCCAGATGGACCGGGCACCACAGGGCAGGGCTCCCAGGAGGTCGGACGTGACAGAGACTTGGCTGCATGTTAAATCTCACGCCAAGAAATGAGAGAAAGGCTGGGCCCAGGACTCCTGGCTTCCATTCCCGGCTCTCGGAGGGGAGGGAGTTGGGCTAGCGGTTAGACAGGGGGAGGGGGGAGTCAGGACTCCTGGGTTCTATCCTCAGCTCTGCCCCGACTCACTGTGTGACCTGGGGTGACTCCCTCCCCCCTTTCTGGGCCTCAGTTTCCCCGTCTGTAGCTGGAGGCCAGCAGTCGCGGCAGGGTGGGGCTGGGAGGACGCGGAGCAGATGGGTGGAGAATCGCTGGGCATGGTTCGGCCACATGGCAGGGCCAGCCACCGCAGGAGCCCCATATCCCGCCCTGGGGCCGCACTGCTCTGTGGGCACGAGCTGGGCCCCCGGTACACTGCCCTGACCCCCGCCCCACCTCCACGAGGGGGATGGGCCCAGGAGCCCAGGGACTGGGACACCCCTCCCCAGGGCCCCCAGGAGACCCTCCAGTGGGGGGCCCCTGCAGCGATGGCCCCCACCGGCTCACACCCCACCCCGGCCAGGAAATTACTAGCAAAGAGCAATTGCTGGGCAAGAGCACATACAGGCCCCTGACACACCCACCACACACAACCGCTTGATGCGCACACCCCCCATGCCCAACCCTGACACGCCCCTCTTGCACACCCACCCGATGTACACCCATCCCTTGCACAACCGCTGGACGTGCACACGCCACACACGAGCCTGACACACACACACTATGCACACCGTACACACCAGCCTACTCCCCCCCCCCGCCCAGCGGGCACCTGGAGCGGAGTGAAACTCCCCCAGTGACCGACCCAGCCCCAGGGTCACCAGCCCTGTGCCCCCGAGACCCTCAGAGTGGAAGGAGGAATCCGACTCTGCTTCCCCCACGTCGCTAATTCATTTGCTAATTAATAAACACAATCATCAAAGCCCCCAGCCAGCCCCCTCTGCTCCCAGCCCCCAGCTCACCCCCCACTCCACTCCCCTCCCAGCCACCAGCCCCCCACTCCACTCCTAGCCCCCCTCTGCTCCCAGCCCCCCAGCTCACCCCCCACTCCACTCCCCTCCCAGCCACCAGCCCCCCCACTCCACTCCTAGCCCCCCTCTGATCCCAGCCCCGCCCTCTGCTCCCAGCCCCCCAGCTCACCCCCCACTCCACTCCCCTCCCAGCCACCAGCCCCCCACTCCACTCCTAGCCCCCCTCTGCTCCCAGCCTCCCAGCTCACCCCTCACTCCCCTCCCCTCCCCTCCCAGCCACCAGCCACCAGCCCCCCACTCCACTCCTAGCCCCCCTCTGCTCCCTGACCCACAAAGAGCCCCTCAGCCCAGCCCCACTCCTGCGAACCGGCCCCCGGGGGCAGAGCCCGGCCGCTTCCTCACCGCGTCTCCGGCGGGGCTCCGGCTGCTTCCTGCGGGGCGCCGGGGCCATGGTGCGGGGCTGCCGCCGGCTCCGCGGGCTGAGTGCGGGGTGCCCCGGGCCGCGGCCCGGACCCGCCCCGACGGCGGGGGCGGGATTCGGGCGGGGCGAGGAGGGAGCGGCCCGGGGGTGTCCGCTCCCCGCAGAGGGACCTGGGGGCAGTAAGTGGGGGGGGGCGCTGGAAGCCCCCCAGGGGTACAGGCAGTAGGGGGCAGGGAGCACCCCAGGGGAGCAGAAGGTGGGGGGGCACCTCAGGGGTGCAGCAAGTGGGGGGCGGGGGCACCCCAGGGGTGCAGGCAGTGGGGGGCAGGTGGCTGCCAACCATAGCCGGGGGGGGGCTTGGCTATGGGGGGGGGCTTGTAGGAAAATGACACTTTGCATGCAGCTGGGGGCACTGGCTGGATTTCCCCCCCCCCGTGATGTGGGTGGATCCAGTCACAGCGATTTCCTCCCTGGTTACTCACGTCTGGGGGCCAAGGTGGCCGGGGAGGAGGCCCAGTGCCGCGCAGGGCTGGGAGCTTTGGGGGGCGGTTTGGGGGGAGATTCCGGCCCCCTGCTGTGGGGCTGGGTGAGGAACCAGGGAGCCGGGCCGGCATGAGCCAGCAAAGCCCAGGGGGATCCAACCATTTCCACGTGGGGCCTGGCTCCAGCTGGGGGGCTGAGGGCTGGGCCTGGCAGGCCGGCCGCTCGCATGGCGATGTGCACTGATGCCGTCACCCCCCCTTTGCGGCCCCCCCAGCACCTCCCCCCCAGACTGCGATGTGACTGTGGTCACCTCTTGCCTCAAGCGCCTCTCGCCTCAGCTCACCCGCCTGGGGGCGGCCTCACACCTGGCTTTCCACTGTGCCGGGGAAAGGTCACACGTGAGTTTTAACAGGAAAGCCAGGACGGGGCGCACCCCTCCCCCACCCCTGGTCCCCCCCCACCTCACAGCCAGAACAGCGCTCACTAGCCACTCACGTAGCCCCTGGCCGGGCAGCCAGTACTGGGGTGTGTCATTTCCCCTCTCTCTGCCTCAGTTTCCTCCTGCTGCGAAATGGGCAGCGGCCTGGAGCCCCAGGCCCTGCTTGCCCTGAAGCCAGCCCCCCTTGGATCCCCTCCCGCTGCCTCGCTCCCCGGGGCAGGTTGGTTCCCAGGCTCTGGGCCTGAGTGGGAATGGCCGGAGGCAGGAGCAGGGCAGAGCGGAAGGGGTTAATCTTCATCCCGGGATCCTATTGGCTAAGAGGTCGTGAAGGCTGTGGTGGGAATCTTGTAGCCGCTCAGTAGGGCCGTGACATCACCAGTGCTATGACATCATCACCCCATGACATCAGAGCAGGAGCTCCCGCCTTCCCCTCAGCTGTTAGCTCACACTGGCCCCCAGCACCCTGATGCCTCCTGGCGCGCCTAGGCTGGGCTGGCGTTAGCTGGGCCTGGGGATCCCAGAGCCCGGTGCCCGGGCCAGGCATGATGGCATCATGGCACGGGCGTCGTGGGAGGAGGGACCCGCCCATAGGCAGCTTAGCTCAGGCTGTTTCTTGCAGATGCCCTCCCCCCACATGGGCTTTGGGGAACGCCTGCCCCCCAGCAGCACCCCTCACTTGGACCGCTTTGCCCTCTGGCCCCACCCCGCCCAGCCCAAGGAGGTCCCGGACACCTGGGTTCTAACCCTCCCTCTGCCACTGGCTCCCTGTGTGACCCTGGACGTGTGGCTTGGTTCCCCCACCTGTAGGACAGGGGGGGTGAGGCTTTCAGGACCCGGCGGGCACAGGGTGGGGGCTTTGAGATCTTCCCATTACTGGGACTTTCCAGCCAGCCAAGCACCGTCCCAGCTAGGGATCCCTCCAGTCTAGCCCCCTGCTGCCCCAGGGACAGCCTCCCCTCCCGCCCCCCGCCGAACTGGGGGCAGCTTCTCAACGGAGTGTCCGGACTGGGGGGGAGGGCAATTGAGAGCAGGAAGGGGGGGTGAATGGGGTGAAAATCCTGCACCAGGGACATGAGTCACCAGTGGGAGCTTCTCTGTGTCCCCAACGCTCTGCCCGTCCAGCAGCATTGTCCCAGAATGGACGGGGGGGCTGCCGGTCGGGAGTGAGGGGCACCGGTGGAGCTGGGGGTGGGTGGGTGGGTGGGGGAAGATTTACACATCCTTTGCCTGACTTACCTGAGAGTCTCGGCCCTGGATCCTCCTTAGAACAGTTACTGAACCAACCTCAGACAGCCCCCACTCCGCACCGGCCTGCCTCCCCCCCCCACCCCCCCTGCAGCTGAGTGGCGTGGGGGGAGGACCGGGTGTTACCAGAACATTTGTTTGCTGATAAAACTCTCTGCCTGCCCGGGGGATCTGGAAAGTGACGCCTGAACCCGCGGGTGAGTCAGTGCAGCTGCCCCAGCCCCAGACACCCTGGCTCCCAGCCCCCTGCTCTAACCACCGGGCCCCACTTCCCTCCCAAAGCCGGGGCGGGGGGCAGAACCCAGGTGTCCTGGCTCCCAGCCCTCTGTTCTAACCACTGGGCCCTACTTCCCTCCCAAAGCCGGCGTGGGGGAGAGAACCCAGGCATCCTGGCTCCCAGCCCCCTGCTGTAACCATGTAAAGCGCCATCACCGCCCATCTGGTTTGCTCCCCCTGCCCTGTGTCCCGGCCTCTCTCCCCACATCCTGTCCCCCGGGAAAGGGAGCGAGCGCCAGGCTGTGCCCCCGGCCGGAGCAGCAAGGCTGGATTGCGGCATCTTGTGCTGACTAACCCCCGCTCACGGCTTCCTCGGGCTGGGGGGCTGCCCCGGCTCAGCCCCCCAACCTCCCAGTCTGGCTCGTCCGGGAATTCTGTGACTGGGGCCCCGGCTCCTGTCTGAGCGAGTGTCCCCCTCACCCCCGTAACCCCCCTGCCCTGGCAGGAGGCAGGGAGCGCAGCCGGGGGGGGTCAGTGCCCATCGTGGGGGGGCCTGGGGGACACGTGCTGACCAGGTGCAGGCTGAGCCCCCTGCTCTGCTCTCAGGTGCCTGCCGCTTCCAAATGAGCCCCCCTTTGTTTACCAGAGCCCCCCCAGCACATCGGGGGCCCTGAGCTTGGGGCCCGGGACAATTGTTCCCCCTTCCGCACGGTCAGCCCTGCCCCCCGTGGCCTGGAACTCCAGGGAAACCCCCAAAGCCTCCCCCCACGAGGGGCCTGCCCCAAAAGCCAGTGCCCGGGGCAGCAGCCTGAGCTGGGCCCCAGCTATGGGGGTTGGGAGGGGCTGAGGGCTCCTCTGAGCTCCGCCTGGATGGGCCCCGGGTCTGTGCAAAGGGTGGGGCATCCCCCCACCTGCCCCTGCCAATGAGTTCCCCCCCCCCAAAGGCCCCCAGCCCCTCAACTCGTTCCCCAGAGCGAGGGACTGGCCTGAGGAGCCCCCGCCGCCCCCAGCCCCCCGGGGTTGGGAGGAGGCTGCAGAAGAGCCCACCCGCCAAACCCTGCTCCACTCAGCACAGACAGTTGGGGGGGGAGTCCTGTCCCCTCAGCCCCCCGCCCCGGCTGTGCCCTGGCACATGGGGTGCCATGAGGCTGGGGTCTGGCCAAGGGGCAGAGAGCCGGGCACTCCGGGGAGGGGGTGGGGGAGGCTGGGCTGACGTCAGCCGCTCCCTCGCCCCCCCCCCCCCCGCCAGATGTTCCCAGGGCGAGGGGGCAGGCATAAGAGTGAAATCCGGGAAATTCTCAGACGGGCAGGCGGGGGGGTGGGGAGGCCCAGATCCCGATGACCTCACGCTCTCCGGGGGGGGGCAGGGCCAGGTGGGGGCGTTGTCACCATGTGCCACGAGAACACTACGCTCCTCTGACGGGCTGGGACCCAGCTGGGGAGGGAGCCGGGGGGCTTGTAGGGGGCCCGGCCCCAGCGCTGCCCTGGGAAGGGGCCATGGGGCCCTTCCCCCCTGCCCTGAGGGCCCTGGCCCGGAAACATCGCCCCGGAAGAGTTTAGGGGCGCCCAGCTGGGGGGGGAGTGGATCTGCAGAGAGCCTCTGCCCCCCTGCCCAGCGCCCACACATGGGGGGCAGCTTCGGGGACTCTAGCTGGGTAGTGCCCACGCCCCCATCTCAGCTGGGGGCCTGGTTCCCGGGGTGGGGACTGCGTCTTGCTTGGTGTCTGCCCAGCCCTGGCACAGCGAGGCCGGGGCCCGGGTCAGACCCCCCAGCTGCCTTTGCGATGTGACGGCACGAGCCCGGATGCCAGGGGAGGGTTTCCCACGCAAAGCGGGGGCCCGTCCAGCAGCCCTGACCCTGCTGGGCCCCCGGCTCCCAGAAAGCCATGGCTGGACGGGACCCAGGGCAGCGCCCCCAGCCCCAGAGGCCTGAGGACGGGGGAAGCCATGGTGGGGGAGGATTCAGGGGCTGGGGCTTGGTTAGCAGCACATCCAGGGTGGTCTCCCCTCCCGAGCCCTATGGGCAAGGGCTTTGGGACTCACCCCACATTGAACCAGGGGGTCTCGCCCAGCAGCTACCTGGCCCATGGAGCCGATAGCCTGACAATGCTGGCCTGATGAAGGCTTCACCCCCCAGCTCCTGCCCCGACAGTGTGTGGGGGAAACGTTCCCTCCTGAGCCCAGCCCCGAACCCTAGCAGTCAAGAACCCCCATCATGGCTGCCCCTGTTCCCACCCAGTGGCAGCTGCAATGGGACCAGCCCCTAGCGAGGGCACGTGATGCTCGCCCGGGGCCGTGCACCCCTGCTCAACCCTGGGCTGTACAACCCCACTGCATGGTGTCCTCTCCTGGAGGAACTGAGGCCTCAGTGTCCTCCTGCAGCGTGGAGTCCTGCAGGTGAACCGTGCCGAGCCACAAGCAATTATTTGACACTGGCTCTGAAGTGTCCATGTGAGTTTGCTGCCCTCTGGTGAGCTCGGCGAGCCAGGGCACCCTAGATTCACTGGGTGGCGTCTGCTGAGGGCCAGCCGTCGGGGGCCCCTTCTTGAGCGCTTGGCTGAGCCATGGGCTGTGGTGATTGTTCGCCATTTGGTGTGTTTCTGCACGGCCGCCAGGCTTGATGGCCCAAGAGTCCAACGTGGGAAGGGACGCGATGCACCCATGGGAGAGGGGGGCCTGC